TTGAACAGATAGTTTGACAATAATTGCATGGATAGTACAGCCGTTTCTACAAGGATTTATTTATTTACTATATGTTCTTCAAACTGAAATAAATTAGAAATACTATTAAAATAAATTAGATAAATTAATTTGATGAGAATTTAGCTTTAGTTAATAACACTCACACAGGTTCATAAACATAAACCAAATGAAAACAATTTTAACTAGAAACGATTTGCAGGGTCGTCCAGATGAACTTGGATCGTACATTAGAAAATCTTAATATACAGTAGTGCCGTGCATTTGAAGTACTTTCTCAAAATACATACTTGAGGACAGTTACACAATAACACGTAAAGATCTACGGAAGTAGACTAGATTATTTCGTGGAAAAAACAGGGATGCTTCAGTTAGGGCCAGTTAGACAATTGAATACGCAGAATTGAATCACCCTAGTATTGTCTATGCAACAACGTGAGAGAATAAAACATAATTTAACCGTCAAACTCGTGAACATGTTGCTCGAATTCGAGCAATTGCAAAATATTACAGAAGTTATTTCAAAACGAATAACAGTCACATTTACAATAAATATTTTATCATATTTCATAACCTGGTATTGCTTTTTAATGTTTTCTACAAGCGTTTCCTGACTTATAGCCGCATAAGGTTGTCCATGTTTATCTTCGTTATTGATAAACCTATGCACTACCACCCTTGTCGACAGCAGTAAGTTTTCAAATTTCAGTAATTCTTTATTAAAGATAAAAACTTTTTTCATCACCATACGGACTTCCTGTTGTCTGTCACAATTTTATTTGTTGAATTGGTGTATTTTTGTTTTGTTACAATAACGTTCATATATTTACCTGAGAAAATTCAGAGTTAAATACCTGTTGTTGTTCAGTTGGTTTTGTTTTCCTTAGCTATAATGCATGAATAATAATTAAATGCCTTCAATAAAAATGTTGGCAAGGGTTTCTTGGATATTTTCATAGGCTATTATAGCTTTTATTCTAAAATCACTTTACTTTTATGAAAATAAAGATTAATGTCATTGACTACAAGATTTATTTGGCCGTAGAGGGCTTTCCTCTGCATTGATCACAAAGTTAAGTTCATGTTTCCTACTAAAAATTGTAGCACTTCGGATAACATTCTCGTTCATCGTTTGTAGGAATCTGAATCTTGTAATGTTTTTCATTATTTGGCTAATAACAATAATAAATCCTTAAAAAAATATCCTCTTTATTTCCTCTACTCGGTGGCGTTCTATGACTTTTTATGTTTCCATAATTTACAATTGGGTCCTTTCAATGATTTCATTTTTAAGGATTTAATTTTTGTAGGACTCCTTTCTTTGAATTTCAGCTTAAATATTAACAGCAATTAAATATCCAGCAGCTGATAATAATGTAAACAAATATGTTCTTAAAAAAAGGATAACATGGAAACTTTAAAAGCCACTGGGGCATTGTCCAAGGGGTTTTTCCAAAAATGTAAGATCAGATTTAAAATCTACGCAACACGCTCTTTCCAATGAGACGTCAATAGATAAAATCGGTTGAGAAATGGTGGAGTAGTTCGACCGACAAATTTTGTGTTGGCGTATTAATTATATAGAAGACTAGCTGTAACCCGCGGGCTTTGCCCCGTTTAATTTCTTAATTTTCAAGATTATCTCGTTCGCATGGCTCAATCGCGTCCTGGTTGAAGTTTGTTCGCTACGCTCACTCACCTTTAGGTTGGAGCTCGTTCGCTGCGCTCACTTGCCTTCAGGTTAGCTCGTTCGCTACGCTAACTCGCCTCCAGGTTGAAGTTCGTTCGCTACGCTCACTCACCTTTTGGTTGCAAATTAGCTGTTGTCATAAATGTAAAAGAAATAATAGTGCTGCACCCTGTTGGTAATCCTTGTAACTTTAATGCTATTGAACATCATAGAACAGAACCAACTTGTTTAATTTGAAACAGCTGTTAAGATTCAATAATTCCATTTCTCATAAGGTTAACATGGGAAACTCCAGAGCCACTGGGGCGGAGCCCGAAAGGATTTTTGAAATAAGAATATGCCTATATGTTAATCGGGAATGTGAGCTATCATCATGCCAAATTTCAGCCCAATCCGACCAGTATTTTTCGCGTTCACTTGTCACAAACATACATCCAAACTTTCTCATTTATAATATTAGTAGGATTAGTAGGATGATCTGAGCATTTTATATTTCTTCACGGAGAATTCTAATTTAACCATCCTATTGACATCACTTTCTTAGCTGTAATGAAATGTTCAAAGTAAAACATTTATTTAATTGAAGTAAACTAATATAGGCCTATTTAAATTCACTGTACTGTATATAGAAAATATCAATTAAGAAGCAAACAATTACACATAATAAATAAACCTCACTAGTCCGCTGCATTGTGATAGCTGAAAATCGTCGTAATAAAAACCGCCGCTACAAGATACAGAAGCTGGTACGCCTGCAGCGCCCTCCACAGCTGCGCGCGCTGCTGGCGGCAGCGCTCAACACATCCCCACCTAAAAGACGAACAAGTGGTATGTCGGTCGGGTCGATTAACGACCAGTTGGTTTCTCGTATATAATAATTTAGTTTTACAGGCCGGTCAACTGGACTGACGATGAAATAACTTGTCGATGTACTGGTTTTCAGTATTTATCTATTTAATTTAAAAAGACGGTCTAGTGGCCAAACGACCAAGTATCTTGTCGGTCAACTAGTGGCCCCCCGTGTATGTTTGAATATTCCTGCCGAAGCCTTTCAATCGTTTCCATCTAGACGTTATTATAGTGTTTAAGAAACTTTACATGCTGATCGGCGTGTGTGAGACCACAGAATAAAGAATTCCACCGTAAAGCTACCAGTTTATTCCCCATATTCCTTGATTTGATAGTTAGAGATGTCTCCTATCAGTTTGGCAGTCACTTGATCAGTATCATTGAAAATCCCTATACATTTTGCCTCAAATGAGACCGATGAATGACTGCAGTCTGCAGTTGGTATACACCATCCAAAACATCCCATGTGCAAACATGTACAACCACCTTTGAACTCTCTCCGCCTCTTATGCACAAGTTCCAATCCAATTCAACACAAACTCTGCTCCATTCACATCCTTCAACTGCCAGTAGAATTCAAAAGCAGATGATGCCTTAGATAACAAAAGTATAATCAGTGAAAACGACTCATGTTTGGCAGTAGCATTGATTTTCCTTCACATAGTTCTTAACTACTATGAAAATACTATCATTGCATAAGTGTGGGAATGACCTAGAAACCCATAACAATTTGAGCTAGCTCCTTTTAACACAACGGGAGCTTGATGGCTACGGAAAACCCTAAAATGCATTTCAGAGTGACTTAGAATTGAAAAATGCAGATGGCCTCGAACATTTTTTAATAAGTAAATTGACTTTTGGATACTGAAATAGACATCCCATAATGGACGAGCCGTTACAATTTTTTATCATAGCGTAGTTGAATGCTGATAATGCTAGAACCTAAATTTCTATTTTCCCCTTCAGTTTTTATTACTGTACTGTGATAGTTGATCATAAAATATTCTATAGATTAAAATGAGTTGTCCCTTTGGTAAAAAGTATGTTTATTTGGCAGAAAAGAAATCAATAATTTCATTGTTTTTTAATTCTAAAATTGGCAATAATTTGAATAAGAGTAGATAGTAGTAGATTCTATTTTTACCAAAAGAATTTAATGAAACCACTGTATCTTAAACAGTTTTACTGTAAGAGAAATACTCATGGTCCAATGACAGTCAAAAAGAGGCTCGAAGTAAAATTCATTTTTTTAAAGTGGCTCTTCTTTCACTGTGATCTTTCACTTAGGAAGAAATAATATCTTGGATATAATATACTCCATTAGTAGATTTCTCATCCTCGGAATAGCTGAAGCCAATTTTATTGTTAGTTTCTGTCCGGTGCACTATGTAGATGTCGTGTTTTGTTTAAAATAAGTTTCTCGTTATTTCAGTTGTGTAACCAAATAAAACAATCTAAGCATAAACAATAACTCATCCTTTAGTTATATAACCCAAACAGTAAACTTAAAGCAAAAATCATTAAATTAACCCAAATACTAGAAACACAATTTCTTCAACACTAGCCAACCTGACACCTGACATGAACTAGACATGAAAAACGAGCTTCAAAATTTACAATGGGATGAGAAGTCTACTTGTATTGGTTATGGTAATCTAACAAGATGAAATGTGCAGTGTGCACCACTCTAGTTGTTGAAGTCCCTAACTACATTATTATGTTATTCTAAGTGGTTTGAAATTACCTGCCCGTTGTTTGAAACCATTCTTGTAGCTTTCATTTTACAATTTTACATACCTGTTATAGATTTATTGCTTTTATTTTGAAACTTTGAAAAGATTTCCAGATTAAGTTCACGGAGCAGTTTTTTTTTTTTTTTTTTACCCGAGCATTAAAAAAATCATGAAACTAATGAGTAAGAGGTAGGTAATGCAAAGTGTGGCACTCTATTGATATGAGTGAGATATATTTACAATTATATGCTGCAAATAAAAATGGTTTCTTTTCCGGGAAGTCAAATTTGTCTGAGACTAGCTCTTACATACGTTAGTCCTCAGACAAAGACGGGGGGTTTCAACAATGACAAAGTCTTTAATCACTGGCTTACAAAGAAAATGGTTCTGGCTAATGGACCAGTTTATTTCCAGTCAATAGCCATAATTTCATTACTGTTTATTCATCCATCTCCCTTAAAGCTGGGTTTTCTTAGGCACGGAAGAGGAACGCGGAGCACGGAAAAGAGATTAACAAGAGGTGTTCCACTCCGCTTCAAGGAAAACAGTAACATTAAATTGCCTAAGACAAGTGGAGTCCGTTCTCCCCGTTACGCGTTCTGCGCTCCACTTCTGCGCCTAGGAATACCCGGCTTAAAATATGGACCCTTTTGTTTCGCTGTCGCATATAAGTCCAATCTAAATCATCAAATCCACGTTTCTTTGTGCAGGTATTTGCCGTCCCTGGTGTCATACTTTCTTGCTCTTCTGCTAGAGCCAATCCTGACTGCAGTCTATGGCTCCATGCCTTTCCGACCCTCCGCCGCAGTTACGTTCCTTGCTTCCATCGTGCTGTACTCTCGTCTCCGCGCTGACACACACCTCCGATACTCTCCTGTATATACCTACGAGTCTGTCCGCACTAGGACAATCAAGTACTACATCGAGGAGGCAAGACTTCGGGCATCACACAAAAAGTTAATCTGATTGTTGATGTAATGTTTATAGATTGATACATCATGTGTTTTGTAGGTTGTGAAGTGTAAAATAGAAACTATATTATAAGTATACAAGCTGCTATACCCGTGCTTTGCAACGGGAAAAAAATGTGACCTAGAGAGCTATTCAAGTGGTGCTGATGTGTGTTTTAAAATACAGCAACTCTATGATTTAGTTTGAAAATATAAACTGATTTAAAAGTGTAATCCTACTTTCAAACCCCCTACTTTTGATGTTAATAGATCCAAAAGAATATACCTACCTCCATACGGACACATACCTTAGCATCAATTTCTTCATATTGCTGCTTCATGAATGACATGTTTTACCATAATTCTTCAATTTTAGTCAAGCCTCTTTCCATGTAGCTTACTATATAAATTACAAAATAAAAACTTTGAGCAATACTTAAACAAAACTTATACAAGCTTTCTTTAAAACCAAACATAACCCTCCTCAATCTTCATTTTTCTAGTAAATAAACAAACACCAATTCATTGCACTGACCAGCTGTTTCATGAACTAAATTGAATAATATCATTTGAACTTTGGAAATATGCCAGGGGTAGCCCTTTGGAAATTAGCCTGTGGGGCAGAGCCCTTAGGAAGTCCGTCCATATCAATACTTTTCGGCAAATCTACACACTCTAAGCTTCATTTTGATGTGCCATATGCCTATATTTTTATTTGGCAAATGACCTTAACCGTTTACATAAAATTTGATTGTATCACTTTAATAATATATAATAGATAATTTTTTGTGTTTTAATTTTCCGCACTAGTATTAAATATTGTTATTAAACAATAAAATAATAGTTTTTAATCAATTGAATAATACATTTCATTAATTTTAAATAGTAATACAGGGTGTTTACAAAATAATGTCGGGATTTTAAATGGTAATTGCTTGAGTCAATCCCTTACACAGCCATCAGCACTCTTACACTCCAGGAAGATCCGTTGACTCTGTGCTACTTCACTTGATAAGCAGGATCAACAAGGCGTTGAAATCCAAAGAGATAGCCCTCAGTGCTTTCCTTGACATCCAGGGTGCCTTTGACAACACTGAAACCGAGGCTGTTATCAATGCTGCCAGAGCTCGTGGATTCCATGAGGTGGTGTGCAGGTGGGTAGAATCTCTTCTGGATAAGAGGAGGGTAAGACTTTAACTTCACAATGAGGTTCTGGAGGCCAGGATCACATGAGGGTGTCCCAGGGTACTTTCTCCACTCCTCTGGAACCTCATGGTAAACGATCTAATCAGCTCTTTCAGTGACAGTGGTGTATTCGTTCAAGGATATGCTGATGACATTGAGATACTGGTTGTGGGCAGATTCAATAACACGGTCACCGACCTCATGAACACGGCTTTGAGGTCAGTTGGTCAGTGGTGCACAGAGGTAGGCCTTTCCATCCACCCCTCGAAAGTGGCGATGATCCCCTTCACCAGGAGGCGGGATCTACAGACATCTTAGACTGCAAGGCTCAGTGCTCGTACTGTAGAATCAAGTAAAGTACCTGGGTGTGGTATTGGACCGAAAGCTGAAATGGGGAACACAACTCCAAAAGATCATTGACCTAGGTAAGTGGTCACTCATGACATGCAGGGTAATAGTGGGAGGGACCTGAGGGCTCAAGCCGGGGCTCATGCAATGGCTGTTCAATGACATACAGTTCACTCGTGTGATGGCCCAAAATGGACTCGGTGTCGGTAGTTAGAGATCTGGCTGCCGTCCAAAGACTCGCCTGTCTCATCATCACGGACGCAATGAGCAGCTGTCCGGGAGCTTCACTGGACTGCTTTCTCAAACTTACTTTAACTAACCTGATGCCAAGGTCACTGCGAGGAAGACATCCAACAGACTTAACCCCAGCCGCAGCAAACCTGCCGACTAAGCGAATTTCCATTTATCTGACCGGACATCGGTCTAACCGGACTACACTCGGCGGAAATGACATCTCTTTAACCGCACAATTTTTATCAGCTCATCGGTTTAACCGAACTAGATCGGCAGTAAGTGAGCGGTACTGAAACAACTGTTCTTATGGGAAAGATTTGAGACCAGTGATCACGTGTCTAAATACAATGCTCTCCTAAATTTAAGTCAAATAGGCTACTGTAGGCCTATACAGTATGCATTTAAACGGTCTGTTTTAATGAGTTTTTGGGGACGTCAGTTTAACCGGGAAAACCTGGGAGTCTACTGTATAGGGAAACTAATAAAGTGAGTTTATTTGTAAAATATTAATAGCTTAGTATAAAATGAATAAATTTACCAAGTTTGATAACTAGGTGGCGTTCGCAGAGGCTTCCACAAAATTGAGCTTCATCAAGGGTTCATATTATATTGTTTTTGCCATACTGCAGTAAAAACAGTAGTTTTTAATGCATGCGTTGCGGGTCTAAAGTAGCATTTTTAATATTTAGGGAGTAAAAATCGTTTTTAGCCTCTATGGAGTAAAAACCAACTCAGTTGTAAATTTTGATTGTAAACGATTGCATTTATCGAAAATATGTATCGATTCGTGCTTCGTAATCATTTTAACATACAGTCTACAGTCTCTTCCCGTAGCATTTTAGCATTGCAGATACATTAATCCATTCCCAAACTCAACACTGCTAGCCTTACTACTTCCTTCGCCATTTAATACGTCATAGACCTGTTTCCTTCCTTTCTCATAGCATTTAAGTATTACAGATTCATTTATCTAACTGCCCAAACGGTTCCTCCACTCTGCACTGCCAGCCTTTACTACTTCCTTCACCACTTCCTACGTCGTGGGGCCTGTTTCCTTCCCTTCTCATAGCATTTTAGTATTGAAGATACATTAATCTAACTGCCACAGACGTATCTCACACAATGCTGATGCTCATACTTTACTACTTCCTAAGCCACTTCCTACGTCATGGACCTGTATTCATCACTTTCCATAGCATTTTAGTATTTTAGATACGTTAATCTAATTTCCACAAACATTCCCACACTCCGTACTGCCACCATTCACCACAGGGTGTCCACATTCTGGAAAGTCAGGGATAGTCATGGAAAGTCATGGAAAAAAATTTTGGTCATTGAAAGTCAGGGAAATAGGCAAGAAGTCATGGAAAGTCATGGAAATTTCCAATTATGGATGGATTTGAGGGGACCATTCAATGCTCTAGTCAGCTGTAACCCGGACTGTTTTAGCATTTTTCAGGATTTTTCACAAATGTTCGACAATTCAATTTATTACAGTTGTATTATTTTATGAGTTTTTGGTTTGTTTTAGTTCATTGTTGTACCTATTGTACTCCATTGTTATCTGTTATTACATATTTCAGTATTTTCTGCAAAATAACATGTCCAGGCAGTTATATTTGTGTGTGTATGTTATATTATAATTTGCGTGTAAAGTTCGTGAGTCATTGAAATCAATGGTAAATGGTCATGGAAAGTCATGGAAATTAATGACAAATTTTTTGTGGACACCCTGCACCATTTCCCATGTCGTGGGCATGCTTCCATCCCTTCTCATAGCATTTCAGCATTGCAGATACATTAAAACTGCTACAAACGGTTTCCAGTTCCCACACTCCACACTGCTCACCTCACTACTTCTTTCACCTCTTCTTACGTTGCGGATCTGTTTCCCTCTCTTCCCATAGCATTTTAAGATTGTAGATACCTAAATCTAATCGTCATAAACAGATCCCACACTCCGAACAACTCGCCTTTACTACTTATTCACCAACACCACTTCCTACTTCGTGGACCTGTTTTCTTCCCCTTCCATAGCATTTTAGGATTGCAGATACCTTAATCTAATCGTCACAAACAGTTCCCACAGTCCGGACTGCTTGCCTTAACTACTTCCTTCACCACTTCCTACGTCACGGACCGGTTTCCCTCCCTTCCCATGGCACCATAGGATTGCAAATACCTTTATCTAATGGTCACAACCAGATCCCACACCCCGAACAGCTCGTCTTTACTACTTCCTTCACCACTTCCTACGTCGCGGACCTGTTTCCTTCCCTTCCAATAGCATTTTAGGAATGCAGATACCTTAATCTATTCGTCATAAACAGTTTCCACCCTCCAGACTGCTCGCCTTTACGACTGCCTTCACCACTTCCTACGTCGCGGACCTGTTTTCCTCCCTTCCCTTAGAATTTTTGGAATGCAGATACCTTAATCTAATCGGCATAATCAGTTTCCACACTTCAGACTGCTCGCCTTTACGACTGCCTTCACCACTTCCTACGTCGCTGACCTGTTGTCCTCCCTTCCCATAGAATTTTAGGAATGCAGATTCCTTAATCTAATCGTCATAAACGGTTTCCACACTCCAGACTGCTCGCATTTACTACTTCCTTCACCACTTCCAATGTCGCGGACCTGTTTTCCTCCCTTCCCATCGAATTTTAGGAATGCAGATACCTTAATCTAATCGTCATAAACAGTTTCCACACTCCAGACTGCTCGCCTTTAATAGGTACTTCATTCAAAGGAAGTGTGTCGCGGACCTGTTTTCTTCCCATCCCATAGAATTTTAGGAATGCAGATACCTTAATCTAATCGTCATAAGCAGTTTCCACACTCCATACTGCTCGACTTTACTACTTCCTTCACCACTTCCTACGTCGCGGACCGGTTTTCCTCCCTTCCCATAGAATTTTAGGAATGCTGATACCTTACTCTAATCGTCATAAATAGTTTTCACACTCCAGACTGCTCACCTTTACTACTTCCTTCGCCACTTCATACGTCATGGACCTCTAGCTAGTGTCTTCATTTGATTATATTTATGATCCATACCGTTTCTGTTCTAATATCTGTGGAATAATGCTATCAGCTATTTCTTTATCTACTGCATTCAAAAGTCAACAGCTACAGCTGATCATATGTCTTTGTTTATGTGTCAAATACTGCTTTCATAAGGATTACATTGAAACTTTGAGACCCAGTTGGGCGGATTCCTGAAAGACTTTTTTTATTGCCATATAGATGTTGGCACTCACCGATATGGTCTTTATCACCATGCAAAATTTGAAAACGATTGATTCAGCCATCTAGGAGGAGTTTGCGTATTTCAAAATGCATAAGAGTCGACGTATACGAGCTTCGCTCACTCCGCTCAAAAATATATCTATATTCTGAATAAAAATAACAACAGGCAATTTTAAATTTAAATTTTTTTGAATTTTCTCCGTTACTAATAACCATACAATAACACTTTGATATACCTACTAGATTATTTGTTTTTTTAGATCTTTAAAAAGGACTAGAGAGAAATTTTTGTGAAATGTTGTGTTTTGAGGGTCAAAAATTATAAATACCCCCGCCGCAGCAAACCTGCAGACTAAGCAAATTTCCATTAACCTGATTGGATTTACACTAAAATTCCTCCATAAAAATAGCACATTTATTTCCTATTTAAATAGAATTAGTTTAACGAGTACTTAGGTTTGCTGCAACAGGGAGGGTAAAAAAGATTTTTTTTAAATAAAATGATAATAGTTTAGTAAGAAATAAAAGTATTTTCCAAAATCGATCAAAATATGTTCATAAATAAGCAAACTACAACAGTTGACTTATTCTCCATAAGAATAACATGGGAATTTTAAAATTACAATTTTTTTTATTTTTCTCCGTAACAATTAGGCGCATAATAACGCTTCAATATACTAAATTATTTGTTTTTTTAAGCTCTACAAAATGGTTTAAGAATAAATTGTGAAATTTTGTGTTTTTAGGGTCAAAAATAGGAAAAACCTATTTTTACCCCATAAAACCCCCCATAAACCCCCGTTCCCATAGTCTGATCATGCTGGTTCGCGAACTCATTCAAGGTTATCCCGCCTTACACCTTCAAACGAAATTTTATCAAAATCGGACAAAAATTACTCAAGTTATTGTGCGGATGGACACACACACACACACATATATATACAGGGTGGTCGCGAATAAGCGTTAAACTTTTTAGTGGGTATAATAGGAGCATAAATGGAACTCGTAAACGTGGTTTAAAAAAATATATCTCATACACACCCCCCAGAGATGACATGTTTTAAGTTTTTTGAATAAAGTTGACATAAATGCAAAAATGTTACATTTTTCGGGTAAATTTAAAACTTTCAGCAACAATTAACTGTACCATCGCGTTCTCCACAAAATTTTGAATAAAAATACATGTATTTCAACTTGCCAAAATCTGCATAGCTACTTATTAAATTGAATAGAAATAAAAATTTGTGTTTTTAAAAAGATTTTAAAAAAATACGTAAACATAAAACTTTTTTCAAAAAAGGTTTTAACGAGCAGCAAACACTTTTAAAAACTGCTCCATGATCTAAGCTTTCAAACAATGCCATAAAACGTAATATTTGATCCCGATAAATGTCCGCTATTCAAGTTTGAATGGCGTAAAACACAGGTTACCCAAAACATTTTTACTACTGTCGCGTCGTAATAATGTTTTTTAGATTAATTAAAATAGCACCATTTAAACGGATTTTGAAATAAATTTTTTGGCAATCTTTTTTCAAACTGGATGAATTAACTCAGGTATAAGGCTAATCTTATACCAATTCAAGTAAGATATGTACCTATGATATGAAATTAAAAATTAATAATAATTCATTTCGTAATAGAGAAATTAGTTTTATTATTTACAGTACAGCCATATGAAACAAAAAATGACTTAGTCGTTTTCTCTCTTTTACACTACTGCATACTTCACTAAAACGACAAGGCTGTGCCCTACAACCTAAAAATACCACGATACAGATATTTGATAAACTTCAACTTAATAAATAAAAGTAGCCTTAAAATATGTTAAAATGAAAATATTACAGTAGTTGGGGATTAAATTGAACACATGAGACAAATAATTTAGTTTCAGGTAATACAAATGTTCAACATTTTGGATAGCTTGTACAGACATTTCATCAAATTTTAATAAAAAACACAATTAGCCCTAAAATATGGTCAAATTAAAAGATTAAATAATGGATTAAAATAAACAAAAAGCTATGAAAGACACAATTGATTTTGGGGAAAATATTCATGTTCAAATCTCTCGGAAAAGTGGAAAGTTGTGTGGACATTTGAAACAAGAGAGGTCGGCATTCACTTAAGAACATTTTCGAAATTATGGCCATTCCGTCTAATACAGTCTCTGGCTCTCTTTCTCATAGATTGAACAGTTACGCTATGGCTCATTTTTCCCGTGACCACTTCTGCTGCTCCAATGATCATGTTCATAAGTTCTTCTTCAGTGTTTACAGGGGTTGCGTAGACGACCGATTTCATAAACCCCCAAACAAAAAATCCATTGGGTTAAGATCCGGAGATCTGGCAGGCCAAGAAACAGTGCCTCCTCGTCCGATCCAAGTAGGGAAGTTGAAGTAAAGCTATTCTCTTTTTGTTTATTTTAATCCATTATTTAATCTTTTAATTTTACCGTATTTTAGGGCTAACTGTGTTTTTTATTAAAATTTGATTAAATGTCTGTACAAGCTATCAAAAATGTTGAACATTTTTATTACCTGAAACTAAATTATTTGTCTCATGTGTTCAATTTAATCCCCAACTACTGTAATATTTTCATTTTAACATATTTTAAGGCTACTTTTATTTATTAAGTTGAAGTTTATCAAATATCTGTATCGTGGTTTTTTAGGTTGTAGGGTACAGCCTTGTCGTTTTAGTGAAGTATGCAGTAGTGTAAATAAGAGAAAACGACTAAGTCTTTTTTTGTTTCATATGGCTGTACTGTAAATAATAAAACTAATTTCTCTACTACGAAATGAATTATTATTAATTTTTAATTTCATATCATAGGTACATATTTTACTTGAATTGGTATAAGATTAGCCTTATAGCTGAGTTAATTCATCCAGTTTGAAAAAAGATTGCCAAAAAATTGATTTCAAAATACGTTTAAATGGTGCTATTTTAATTAATCTAAAAAACATTATTACGACGCGACAGTAGTAAAAATGTTTTGGGTAACCTGTGTTTTACGCCATTCAAACTTGAATAGCGGACATTTAGCGGGATCAAATATTACGTTTTATGGTATTGTTTGAAAGCTTAGATCATGGAGCAGTTTTTAAAAGTGTTTGCTGCTCGTTAAAACCTTTTTTGAAAAAAGTTTTATGTTTACGTATTTTTTTTAAATCTTTTGAAAAACACAAATTTTTATTTCTATTCAATTTAATAAGTAGCTATGCAGATTTTGGCAAGTTGAAATACATGTATTTTTATTCAAAATTTTGTGGAGAACGCGATGGTACAGTTAATTGTTGCTAAAAGTTTTAAATTAACCCAAAAAATGCAACATTTTTGCATTTATGTAAATTTTTTTCAAAAAACTTAAAACATGTCATCTCTGGGGGTGTGTATGAGATATATTTTTTTAAACCACGTTTACGAGTTCCATTTATGCTCCTATTATACCCAATAAAAAGTTTAACGCTTATTCGCGACCACCCTGTATATATTTAAAAATTTGAACGAATGGTGTTTTTGGCCTCTGGGGACATCAAAATGAAAAAGTAAATCGGTCCCGGGCTTAGTTCTTACCATGAGACCTACGGTAATAGCTACTTCCCTATAGGGAAATTCGCTAAAACCTATTTTTACCTCATAAGGAGCACCACACATTTGCGCAGATGAGCTGCAGCCTCTGTTAGGCCTCCGCGGCGTTTTAGTTGGAATACAGTTTTCCTCCACGCCTCGCTTCAATGTGACACGAAAAAGTCCTCGCTCCCGCCTGTACCTAGCCTGTATCTCGCCTGCACCTCGCCTCGCTCCAATGTGCGGCGGGCCTAAGACCCCCCGGATAAAAATTACTCAAGTTATCACTTTCATGGACACATAACTCTCTCTCTCTCTCTCTGGAAGAATCTGCGTTGGAGTTTATGCCAGAATGTGCCGAAGGATAATAACGAAAAAGCATGAATTTGAAAATGCGGGAGGACAGGCTGGAATTTTAAATGGAAAAATGCTAGGAAAGAAAGAACATATTAAGAAGATTGAAAAAAAAACCGATGATCCTAGTACAGAGGGTACTAGGTGAGGGGAGAAGTGTTGGTTAGGCACAGAATGTGCCTGGAAGGACAAAGATTAAAGCTGACAGCAGGAAGAGGAATCCGAAGATTTTTCAGGAAAGCGGCCTGGTGAATAAGTCTCTGACTGAAACCAGGGGTGGTGGAGGGACCGCTGGGCTTAGGCCAAAAACCTCTCTCCCTCCCCCCCCCTCTCTCTCTCTCTCTCTCTATATATATATATATATATATATATATATATATATATATACACACGTGGATATCGAAATGTTAAACTATAGGGAGTAAATTTAATGGAGTTTAATATACAGGAAAGTAGAAACACAAGTCTTATATAAAAATCACCCAAAAAAAGCTTAACAGTTAATTTCACTGTTCATTAGTCAAGTCTCAAGTCAACAATAAATGACAAATTAATGTTCAAGTCAGCTTATATAACAATAGTAACCATTAAATATCACTTGACATAATAGGTCAGCCCGTTTTGAACTACAAGGAGTGTCAAACTATTGAGTGTCGAACTATCGAAGGTTTACTGTATTTCCATAAATAAATCCCAAAGTACCCATGAACTTTTGAGAAAACTACAAGTCACACCCCCATAAATCATATACATAAAATGTTTGTCATGTTGAGAAACCTTGCCCAAAACAATCAATTATTTCATAAATTGCCCTTTTATGTTGTAATTCCTTTCTAAAGGGAACTTTCCATATACCTAATGTTAAAAATACCTCTGCTGTACTGTGTTTATTTGTCTGTATTGCTGTATTCTGTTTTGTTTATTTCAGCAAAACACGTTGCCTTTCAGCCGTCACACTCAGCTGTATGAGGGGCGTTGTGAGACGTGGTAGAGTGGGTTAACACGCTGCCTACCGGCCGTCACACTCAGCTGTATGAGAGAGGCGTTGTGAGACGTGGTAGAGAGTGGGTTAACACGCTGCCTACCGGCCGTCACACTCAGCTGTATGAGAGAGGCGTTGTGAGACGTGGTAGAGAGTGGGTTAACACGCTGCCTACCGGCCGTCACACTCAGCTGTATGAGAGAGGCGTTGTGAGACGTGGTAGAGAGTGGGTTAACACGCTGCCTACCGGCCGTCACACTCAGCTGTATGAGGGGCGTTGTGAGACGTGGTAGAGAGTGGGTTAACACGCTGCCTACCGGCCGTCACACTCAGCTGTATGAGAGAGGCGTTGTGAGACGTGGTAGAGAGTGGGTTAACACGCTGCCTACCGGCCGTCACACTCAGCTGTATGAGGGGCGTTGTGAGACGTGGTAGAGAGTGGGTTAACACGCTGCCTACCGGCCGTCACACTCAGCTGTATGAGAGAGGCGTTGTGAGACGTGGTAGAGAGTGGGTTAACACGCTGCCTACCGGCCGTCACACTCAGCTGTATGAGGGGCGTTGTGAGACGTGGTAGAGAGTGGGTTAACACGCTGCCTACCGGCCGTCACACTCAGCTGTATGAGAGAGGCGTTGTGAGACGTGGTAGAGAGTGGGTTAACACGCTGCCTACCGGCCGTCACACTCAGCTGTATGAGGGGCGTTGTGAGACGTGGTAGAGAGTGGGTTAACACGCTGCCTACCGGCCGTCACACTCAGCTGTATGAGAGAGGCGTTGTGAGACGTGGTAGAGAGTGGGTTAACACGCTGCCTACCGGCCGTCACACTCAGCTGTATGAGAGAGGCGTTGTGAGACGTGGTAGAGAGTGGGTTAACACGCTGCCTACCGGCCGTCACACTCAGCTGTATGAGGGGCGTTGTGAGACGTGGTAGAGAGTGGGTTAACACGCTGCCTACCGGCCGTCACACTCAGCTGTATGAGAGAGGCGTTGTGAGACGTGGTAGAGAGTGGGTTAACACGCTGCCTACCGGCCGTCACACTCAGCTGTATGAGAGAGGCGTTGTGAGACGTGGTAGAGAGTGGGTTAACACGCTGCCTACCGGCCGTCACACTCAGCTGTATGAGAGAGGCGTTGTGAGACGTGGTAGAGAGTGGGTTAACACGCTGCCTACCGGCCGTCACACTCAGCTGTATGAGAGAGGCGTTGTGAGACGTGGTAGAGAGTGGGTTAACACGCTGCCTACCGGCCGTCACACTCAGCTGTATGAGGGGCGTTGTGAGACGTGGTAGAGAGTGGGTTAACACGCTGCCTACCGGCCGTCACACTCAGCTGTATGAGAGAGGCGTTGTGAGACGTGGTAGAGAGTGGGTTAACACGCTGCCTACCGGCCGTCACACTCAGCTGTATGAGAGAGGCGTTGTGAGACGTGGTAGAGAGTGGGTTAACACGCTGCCTACCGGCCGTCACACTCAGCTGTATGAGAGAGGCGTTGTGAGACGTGGTAGAGAGTGGGTTAACACGCTGCCTACCGGCCGTCACACTCAGCTGTATGAGAGAGGCGTTGTGAGACGTGGTAGAGAGTGGGTTAACACGCTGCCTACCGGCCGTCACACTCAGCTGTATGAGAGGGGCGTTGTGAGACGTGGTAGAGAGTGGGTTAACACGCTGCCTACCGGCCGTCACACTCAGCTGTATGAGAGAGGCGTTGTGAGACGTGGTAGAGAGTGGGTTAACACGCTGCCTACCGGCCGTCACACTCAGCTGTATGAGAGAGGCGTTGTGAGACATGGTAGAGAGTGGGTTAACACGCTGCCTACCGGCCGTCACACTCAGCTGTATGAGAGAGGCGTTGTGAGACGTGGTAGAGAGTGGGTTAACACGCTGCCTACCGGCCGTCACACTCAGCTGTATGAGAGAGGCGTTGTGAGACGTGGTAGAGAGTGGGTTAACACGCTGCCTACCGGCCGTCACACTCAGCTGTATGAGAGAGGCGTTGTGAGACGTGGTAGAGAGTGGGTTAACACGCTGCCTACCGGCCGTCACACTCAGCTGTGTGAGACGTGGTAGTGAAGGGGTTAACTTAACCAATCAATAATTTTATTAATACTTATGAAGTCAAACGGAGTGAAGCCCGTGGGTAACAGCTATTATACTGTATAATATAAAACTCATTTATAAAAATTTTAACAAATGGTGTATTTGGCCTCTGGGGATATCAAAATGAAAAAGTAAATCCATCCTGAGCCTAGGTCTTACCGTGCCACCTGCTGTAATAGCTACTTGTTCTAAGAAACGTAGGTGAGGGAAAATTTAAAAACGTACGTTTTTAGGAAAAGCACTTTGCAAATTTTTTTCCCCTTTTTTCAAAACTGATGTTTCATAAAATGTCCATGGTAACGCAATATCTTTGGTAGTTTTTTTTTTTAAAGAGCATCTTTAGTGGAAAAACACAAAATCCTTTCACGACTATAACGGATGTTTAAATGAATATTAAAAATGGTTAATATTATTTTTATAACTATGTTTTGCTATAAACTAATTTACTTTTATGACCATTATACAATAAAAAGGTCACTGAGCTTTTGGTATATTTGGTCTTCCTAGAAAAAAATAAATACCCCCGCCGCAGCAAACCTGCCGACTAAGCGAATTTCCAGTTGCCTGAATTGATTTTCAATTAAATGTATTTAATAAACATTAATTTTAATGAGTACATAGGCTTGCTGCTACAGGGAGGGTAAAAAAGTGTGTTTTTTAGAGAAATATTAATAACTTAGTATAAAATAAATAAATTTACCAAGTTTGATCAAAATATATCCATAAACAAGCAGACTACAACATTTTACAATATTCCCCATAAGAATAACATGGGAATTTTAAAATAATAATTATTTGAATTTTCTCCGTAACTAATAATAGTACAAAAACACTTTGATATACTAAATTATTTGTTTTTTTAAGCTCTTTAAGAAGGTCTGAAGAGAAATTGGGAAATTTTTCGTTTGTAGGGTCAAAAATTAGAAAAACCCATTTTTACCCCATAAAACCCCCCGTAAAACCCCGTTCCCATGGTCCGATCATGCTGGTTCGCGAACTCATTCAAGTTTATCCTGCCTTACACCTTCAAACCAAATTTCATCAAAATCGGATAAAAATTACTCAAGTTATCGTGTTCACGGACACATATATATATATATAAATCTATATATATATATATCTATATATATATATATATATATATACATATATAAAAATTTGAACGCATGGTGTTTTTGGCCTCTGGGGACATCAAAATGAAAAAGTAAATCGGTCCCGCACCTAGGTCTTACCATGCCACCTACGGTAATAGCTACTTCCCTATAGGGAAATTCGCTAAAAATCTCAAAAAATTGAAAATAAGCCAATAAAATCTTTTTAAGTTTGTATAACTCCGAAAAAACTTACCTGAGACCCAAAAAATCGTTATGTTTGTATAGAGGTGTGCTTCTTTTGTGTATAAAACATTGAAATATGACGATATTTTAATTTTTGAAATTTTTATGATAGAAATCATAAACGTGGTGGTCAGGGACAAGCGGTACGGTCGTGAATTGTCTGGAATAATCTAAATCTTTCTAAACAATCCTTCAATTATACTGTTAGTTATAATAAAAATATGTGTTTCAATTGAACTAAACTGTTCGATTTACAATTATATTAAAGTTATTGTCACGACCAAACACACTATAATCCATAAGGCTGGATTGGTCGTGAAAAAACCTGCGATGGTCGTGAAACTTTGGTCGTGAAATTACGTGTTAATTGGCTCTGTTCTGGCGGTAGCCCTGCACCTCATGTTCGAGGATACAAAGTGGACTTCTAGGTTAATCTAGCAATTGAAATATCTAATAAACAAAAATTAACACCATGTCTACTTCATTGAATGACTACGTACGGTCATGGACACACCAAAATTACAAAAAACACAATCTTTCCTTTATTAATCTTGTAATTCCTCCTTTCGACTCGAAACGACCGGCACTACAATCCTGACGTACACCCCGAACTGGTCTCTAAAACCAACTGACTCCATCGACGCCAGGCATGCCACTGTCGTGCTCCAAAGTTGAAAATTTGTCCCAAATGGTCGTGATGCCAAATCGAAGGACAGACTAATTTTGTCATGGTAGTCAGTTTGCAATGACAATAAAATTATAATATGCTCCTTTTATGTAAATTTAATAACCATTGATGACATAAAAATATGGCTTTATATATTTCGGCATGAATAATTAGTCTAAAAACAGCGTGAAAGTTGGAAAATGTACTCTAGGGACACGTCATGGTCGTGAATTTCGAGTCTTTAAAAATACGAAAAAAATACCTAGAACATATTTAAAACAAAATAAATATGTGTAACATGTTGGCCCCGTCCCAAAAAATATTAAAACACATAATAATAAACTACAAATCCAGTATCTACGAAGTAAAAGGCCAGGGACATGAAAACGTACGTTTTTAAATTTTCACTCAGGTACCACTCCTCACTGTGTTTCTGTCCCACTCTATGAGGATCATCCTTTCCACCAGGATCTCCTGGTTTTGGGTAGTTCTTCAAAGGTCGGGGCATTTTACCTCCCCTTCCATGCTTGCGGTACTAGCCCGTGTTCCCACGACAAGCTATGGATCTGAAGTCGACCTGGACAGAGCCCCGCATGCCCAGGCAAGGCTGCTTACTGCAGGAGGGCGTCTGGTATCCTGCAAGCACTGTTTAGACACCATACCAAAGAGGCCTCGTGTCATCAACTTCTCAGCACGGTCCACCTAACACCTTTGGTTGGCCTGTAACAGAGGAAGGAAAAGGAGGGGGCGGGAGTTGGGAGAAGAAAAGAGCAGAGGCAGTAAGATGAAGACACAGTTGGTCCATGCTTGTGAAGAAGAAGAAAAACATGGAGTGAAAGGATAGACCCTGCTCAGTTGAAGAGTAGGGAGTCAGGGAGGCTGATTGCAATGGCTAGGCACCAGGCGATTGGATCGCCGACCCCTGAGCCTAAAAGATGTGTTAGGCTTCAACAATATAGTGTAAATAAGCTCACTCTCTTCTCTCCTTCCCAGACCGTTGCCTCCAATGCTCTACGATTAGACAGGAGGCAACTTAGTCAGATCACAGGAATGGTCACTGTCCATGGCTTCCTGTAACTGCACCTGCATCACTTGAAACCCATAATGGAGACACTGCGTGTAGGAAATGTGGGCAGTCCGAGGAGACCGCAGATCATCATCTACTCTATGACTGTACAGCTCTGAACAAGGTAAGCGAAAGCACTCTTGGAACAATGATAAGGGGCAGACACCTTCCCCAGGAAGAGGATAGGATGCTGCAGTTCATCAAGCAACTCAGGTTTAATGACCACCAAGGGGGGAGCACAAAAAGTCAATCTGTAGCTGACGTGCATCAGGTCAAGGTCCGCCCTGAAGGAATCAATCAATCAATGGTAATTGTTTGGGTACAATTTAAGGTAATTAAACGTTTTGTACGTCAAATTGAAAGTTTTGTTTCCCATGTACCAAGGGAGGAAAATTTAACCTTGGTATGTGCAAAAAAGGGCACCGTGGTAGGTCGACGTTGCGATCTCACACCACTGACCCCAGTCGCCAGTACGATCTTTACGGTGCAACAGAAGGCATAGAGTGTAATCTGTGGTTCGCAGAGTTTAAATCAATTGCTTAACTAAACTAAATTAAAATCTACTTAATGATAAAGACATTTGATGCTGGTTTAGTGTGTTTTGTGGCACGGTAGTATTTAAAAAGACATTCACCTCTGGCCGGTTAAAAACAAGTGATGACATCGTCGAAGAAATCCGACAATTGCATCAAAAAGCCTGAAAGAATTGATAACCCAATGAAGTCTTCCGTTGAACATAACTCACTTCATGACGTTATTCCTAAAAGATTGAGTCTTTGTGCCAATAAAATTTAGTTAAGACGTCAGATAAACCTGCCGATCGCCCTAAGGGTACAGACTTTGCCAGTTATACTCTTGTGACATTGATGAAAATATGAATTTTATTAAATTCTTCCAAATATTATCAAAGTATGAGAAAAAAAACTTTGTTCTCTTCCCTTCAATTTTATGTTTAAATCGTTTAGTTATCTTTAATAGTCTCCGAGCATTGGCCGTTTAAAATCTCGGTGTTCTTTTGTAAACACTGTATACAAACTAATTTGGGCTCTTTTTTTACACGTCTACTACTTTTAATAATTTTACCATCCATTGTAGTTGTCTTTACGAACATATAACCCCTATTCAACTGGAAATTTAAAAAAAGACTTAGTTGCAAATTTGTGAGCTGCTAGAAGAGAATTTCTAAGAAATTGCATTATAGTCCAGGAGCAAACTGCACATATCCAGCTTCCGTGGGATTTTTTGTGAAGGGAATGTGTGACTATGTGGAATCTCTTTATGATATGTCACATAATGGTGTAGTACCGGGTGTTTACCCTCAAATTGCGGGGTTTGGTTTTTATGACGTCGTAAATCCAAGATGGCCGCCATGTGTGACATCTATTCATTAAATTAATAATAACTCTTTTCAGAGTAAAATAATCGAATTTTAATTTACACCATTGAATTCAGCTCTAAAAATCAAACAATTTGGTGTTTTGAATCATTGCTCTGTGACCATTGGTTACCGAGATATTGAAGGCGGAAAACACAGAACATGGTCCCTATGTTATCCTTATGGGGGAAAAATAAAATTGTATATCTAGCTTATTACTCAGCATATCTTAATAATAATTGGTATGTGGCTTCATTTAGTAGAGATCTACTTGATTATGACCTAAAATCCCCCATTTTTACATTTCCGTGGCAGCAAACCTGCATACTAGCTTCCAATGTTATTCTTATGGACAATTTTTTGCATGCTTGTTCATGAACATACTTTGAGAAGTGATGATGTGTGGCTCCATTTTAAATATTTATTGAAGCATTTGCAATTCGTTGAGTATACAGGTCAGCTGCTACGGGGGTTTTGTATCTATAAAAAATCTCACAAATTATAGGTATAAAATAAATTAAAATAGACTATAGTTTTGGGTCATATGTAATTTCGTGTGATTGTATGATTGGTGGTGATAGATAGGTGACATATAGAATCGTGTACTACCGGGTGTTTTGTCTGAAAGTGTGGCCTAGCTGGTGTTTTTGGCCCGCCGTCTTGGATCCACCATATTCGATATTAATATAATTTTTTTAATGTAATGCTGGTGTCGTGACTCATCATTATAAACTATATGTGTTTACGCTATTTTCAATTCCGAAAACCGTCTAAATATCGTCTTTCGTTTCGAAGATATATTGAAATGAAATCTCCCCCCCATACATTTTTTACGGACGTTTCGTACTTTGATAATTTTTCAGATTATTTTTCTCATATATCCAGTTCTTATTATCGCTTGCAATTCGTTATAGTCTTAAAGTATTCAGTGATGTAAGGGCTTTTATTTAAGCTATCGATCATTAAAATCTGACCAGTTATAGTTGAGCTATGAACCGCAACACAATATTAAATGTAACTTTTTCCAAATCAGTTTTTATTAGAAGATTTATATCTCGGGTTGTTAATACGTCATACGGTTCATTCTGGTCTCAAATTACTCAGTAAATGTTTGGTTTAAAATTTTATTAATCACTAAATGAAATCTGATTAATTGAAAATGAGTTATCGGCCTTTATTTAACATTAATAATCATTTTTATTTTGAAATTTGTCTTTGGTTAAAGCAATTAAAGACATACAGGGCTGGTTATCAGGGTTACAACATTTGTTTGGCGTAAGTACAAAGTAAATGATGTGTGATGAGGCATATAAGACTAAGCGGTTCCACGTCTAAAAATTTTAACACTGATGACCAGCCCTGTATGTCTTAAACCAAAGAAAGTTTTGGACATAAAAATAATTTAATGTTAAATTATTTATTGGTTCATGACTCATTTCAAAATAACTCAGTCAGATTTAATTTAGTGATTAATCAAATGTAAAATCAAACATTAAACAAGTAATTTGAGACCAGGAAGAACTTCGTGACGTATTAACAACCCGAGATACACATCTTAATTAATTAATAACAACAGATTTGTAATAAGTTAAATTTAATATTGTGTTAGGGTTCGTAGCTCGACTCGTAACGCTCTAAGACCGAATTTAAAGATCAATAGCTCAAATGAAAGCTCATACATCACTGAATATTTTAAGACCAGAACGAACTGCAAGCTGTAATAGGAACTGGAGATATAAGAAAAATAATCTTAAAAATGTTCAAAGTACGAAACGTCCGTAAGAAATGTATGGGGGAGAGTTTTTATTTGAATATATCTTCCAAACAAAAAAATATATTTAAAAACATATTTCAGCATTGAAATCAGCGTGAAAATCTAGTTCATAATGATGTGTCACAACACTAGCATTGCATAAAAAAAGTTATTAATATCCAAAATGGCGGCCAAAAACACCAGCTTGGCCAGACTTTCAGACAAAATACTCGGTAGTAGGGCCTACACGGTTCTACATGTCCATGTCCATTACCTATCGCCAACAATCATACAATTGCTTAATTCAAAATCCTACAAAATTACATATGCCTCACAACTATAGTCTAATTTATTTTATTTTCTAATACCTGTTATTTGTTTATAGCATACCTACCCGTAGCAGCAGACCTGTATACTCAACGAATTGCAAATGCTTCAATAAATAATTAAAATGGGGCCACTCATTAACATTTCTCAACACGTATGTTCATAAACAAGCATAATTACAAGCATAATAACAAGCATAACAAGCATAAACATTGTCCATAAGAATACCATTGGAAGTTAGTATGCAGGTTTGCTGCCACGGAAATGTAAAAATGGGGGATTTTAGGTCATAATCAAGTAGATCTCTACTAAATGAAGCCACATACCGATTATTATTAAGATATGCTGAGTAATAAGCTAAATAATACAATTTTATTGTTTCCCCATAAGGATAACATAGGGACCATGTTCTGTGTTTTCCGCCTTCAATATCTCGGTTACCAATGGTCATAGAGCAATGATTCAAAACACCAAATTGTTTGATTTTTAGAGCTGAATTCAATGGTGTAAATTAAAATTCGATTATTTTACTCTGAAAAGAGTTATTATTAATTTAATGAATAGATGTCACACATGGCGGCCATCTTGGATTTACAACGTCATAAAAACCAAACCCCGCAATTTGAGGGTAAACACCCGGTACTACACCATTATGTGACATATAATAAAGAGATTCCACATAGTCACACATTCCCTTCACAAAAAATCCCACGGAATACAGTTTGCCCCCCGACTATTAGGCAACTTAGGCAACTTTAGCAACGACTTTTTAAAAATAGTAAAATTATTCTGCTTAAAAAATAATTGCAAATAAAACCATTCTATGGTGTTTGAAACAGAAGAGAAAAAATTTAAATGTTTTGTATTTAAGTGTTTTTTTATGATACTGAACTGATAAAATAGAAAAATATTATTCGTTTCTTTAATAATATAATAGTGTTTCTTTTACCGGTACCCAAAATTATATAATTAAAGAAAATAACGTACACTTTGAATAATTGAACCACAATAATTACCAGTAAGAGTGGTGAGTTCAATAAGATAATTTGTTGTAATATGTTGTTGTTGTAGCCATATTTATTATTTTGTTATCTTTTAAGAGTCAAGAGTCCATCAAGGTATAGTAGACAATGTTGATACACTCTACTACTCCTGCAGTGACTATGACCTACACACCTTCCTACCAGCGAAAAATAAAAGAATTGCTGATACTGTTTATTTATTAAACTATTAATTACCTACTTTAAGTATTTCTAAATAGTCTGTGTCTGTTGGTAATAGATAAAAGGAGGTCAAATAATGTGGACAGGAAAGTATAGTTAGCTAAAAAGCTCATTGTTGTAGCCTAACATTGTTGAGATTGATAAGAGACAGGGCCGATTTACCGAATAGGCACGGTAGGCACGTGCCTAGGGCGCGAGGCAATTGGCTTTTTTGGGGGGGCGCCAACAATTTTGTAAATAAAAAAATTGGTGTTTGCATGCGATCACGGTAAACTTCTGATAATCCCTCGCGGCCGTGTAGACATCGTAATAGTATCCCGCGTTTGCGGCGAGATTCTCACTATTTTCCGTGGTCGGGTCGTTTAGACATAATTATCGTCTTCCATTATCGAGGCAATACATAAGCATATCCAGCGGTCGTGAGGAGATTATCATCGTCTACCGTGAATGAGGGAAAATTCTGATCTTCTTCCCGCGGTCGTGAGGACATTATCCTCGTCTTGCGCGATCGCGGTCAAATTCTGAACACCCTTCGAGGCCGTGAAGACATCATTATATCGTCCCCTGCGGTCTTGTGGACAAAGTAATCGCCTCCAGCGATTGTGGCAAAATGGTAATTATCTCCCCCGGTCTTGTGGGGATCATCATCCTCTTCCGCAAATTAGGCAAAGTTCCGACTTTTTCCCGCGACCGTTTGGCCCATTATCATCGTTTTCCGTGATCGCGGCAATATCTGATCATCCCTCACGGCCGTGTATAAATCATTATCGTATCTCCCGCGGTCCTGTAGACATCGTAATCATCTCCCGTAGTCGTGAAGACATTGTAATCGTCTCCCGCGATTGCGGAAAAATGGTAATCATTGTCTTCCACGAATGAGGCAAAATTTTTCCCACGGTCATGTGGACATTATCATCGTCTTGCGCGATCGTGGCATAATTCTGATCATCCCTCACGGCCGTGTAAAAATCATTATTGTATCTCCCGCGGTCCTGTAGACATCGTAACAGTCTCCCGTAGTCGTGAATACATGGAAATCATCTCCCGCGATTGCGGAAAAATGTTAATCATGTCCCGAAGTTGTGTGGAGATCATCATCGTCTTCTGCAATCGCGGCAAAATTCTTGCTGTTTCCCGCGGTCGGGTGGACATTATCATTGTCTTCCGTGATCGTGGTAATTCTGATCATCCCTCACGGCCGTGTGTAGACATATTATCGTCTCCCGCGGTCACGGAAACATCACTGATGTTGTCATGTGCGATCACGATAAATTGAAAACTCTAGGTATAAATACAAAATTCAGACATAATTCCCGGTTCAAAAAACTCCCGCATGATTCCCGGATTTCCCGGTTGGTGGACACCCTGTTATATATATTGCAAAGGGGCGCTACTGTTAGTTGTGCCTAGGGCGCTGACAGGATCAAAAACGGGCCTGATAAGAGATAATCTCATACGCTATTGTCTGAGGATCTTCAATGAAAATCCCATTTCAAATATTATTCAAGTTTCTTCGTTTTATTTATCCTACGCAGCAAGTTTATCCCTCCAGTAAACGCGCCGAGGACTCAGAGTCCGCACATTTGAAAAAGCGAAATAAGTGAATCCGCAAGCAAATGACATGACGTCCCATCTACCTTCCCCCACTACTTTTCCAAGGACAATGGCGGTGTTTTGACGACTGTCTTAGCGTCAGTTGGTCCTGCGCTACAAGGGTGTAAAGTTAGGCACGTCGTGTTTCAAGAGGATGAAGAACAGGCCAGCGATTGACTGATTGGTTATCAACACAACATATTCCATTTGAAAAATTTGTAATTATTTTGAAATTTATCTATATCTATTTACCTACATTTGGATAATTTAAAATTTTGATTCTATATTAACTTTATTAGGTATAAAAGAGAGTTTCCAGTAAGACGTAAGACGTAGGCCTATATAAGACGTATGCGTACTTGGTGTTACTATTAGCCACATGTGTACTGGAGGGTTAATTACCGTTGTCCGAGGGCTTATAGATCCTTGAGGGCTTATAATCGATATTAAAGGCAGTTAAAATCATTGTTACAGGAGTGTTTCCAACTATTTTTATTTCTTACTCACTCTCTAAAACTACAACACATACAAAAGTAAAATTGTACTTCATTGTTTAACTGATTGTGTTTTACCAGAGATAGAATGATAGATGAGAGAATCATTCTTTTATTAAAAATGGTTCAAGTCATCTACCTATTCTTTCTTGTTGTAAACATTGTAACCTAAATCCTTAAAATATACAGTACATTACACACTCGCATATGTACATATTATCCATTGACATGAACAATTACAAAAATACGCATCCATTACAACTACGGTACCTTAATTTGTATATTTTCAAACTTGCGTAGTCATAAAAATCATTAGACTATTCCTGCCGCAGCAAACTAGCAGACTAAGCAAATGTCCATTTGCCTGATAAGATTGCAGTAAAATATTTCATAAAGATGTCAGATTTATTTTGTCTATTTAAAAAAATATTAGATTAGATGCGGGATGCACTTAGTACATAGGTTTGCTGCCACAAGGAATGTTAATTATGTGTGTCTTTTCGCACAACGTTAGCTTGGTTTTAAATATATGAAAATACAAAATGTGATCAAAATATATTGATAAACATGCTAACTAAACAGTTTAGTTATTCTCCATAATAAAACAAATTTAGAGTTTTTTTAGCGAATTTCCCATATAGGGAATAAGCTATTACCATAGTACTCATGGTAAGACCTGAACGGATGGTGTATATATATATATATGTCCGTTAGCATGATAACTCGAGCAAAAATGATTTCATTTTGATGAAATTTGGTACAAACGTGTAAACCTACATTTATTCGAACGAGTTCGCAAACCAGCATGATCGGACTAAGTTTTGCAATTTCTTTCCAAACTATTTTGTAGAGCTCAAAAAAAATAATTCAGTATATTGAAGCTTTGTTATGCGCCTAATAGTTACAGAAAAAATTCCAAAAAATTATAAATTTAAAATTCCCATGTTATTCTTACGGAGAATATAAGTAAACTGTTGTAGTTTGCTCATTTATGACAATATTTTGATCAAATTTGGAAAATGCATTTATTTTGTACTAAACTATTAACATTTTACAACAAACAATTTTTTACCCTCCCTTTTGCAGGAAACCTAAGTATGTACTTGTTAAACTAATGCTATTTAAATAGAGAATAAATGTGATATTTTTAAGGAGATATTTTAGCGTACCGGTAAATCCAATCAGTCAAATGGAAATTCGCTTAGTCTGCAGGTTTTCTGCGGCGGGGGTATTTTATTTTTTCAGAATTAAGGAAGAAGAGATGCATACACAACTACAAGAAAAGAGTTCCAGGCAGTTGAAAGCACATAAAAGTTAACAGCACGATTAATATACTTGAAATTTAATTCCCCCTTACAGAAATTTCCCCCTTACAAGGACTCTTCTTCAGTATAAAGAACTAAAGAAGTATGAAGGAACTCTTTTCGTTAGTTATAGTAAGTTACCGGTAGTCCATTCCTTCTTCCTTAAAATGTAGAGCCAAGTGTCTTTTCCTAAAAAAAAATAAAGTAAAATATACCAATTTTAGAACAATATTCATTAGATTTTTCTTACACTTATTTTTATACATTTTATCAATTGTATTAATCTCAAACTGAATAGAAAGATAGGAGGGAGAAAATGTTCTGTAACAACACAAAATATTGGCAAATAGTTCAACTCAATCATTAAAATAGCTAATTAGTAACTTTTGTTCCTCTCTATTGCCATAAAAAATCATCAACTTATCATTCTAAAGAGAACCATTCCTCATGTTACCAATGTTAGGGATAAACATGAATATAGATACTAAGTAGACATCCTATATAGTAAGTTTACTAAACACATAATCTGAAAACATTTTGGGTAGCTTACTTTAAATGTTCATAAAGGTAGTATAGATCAACTATTGGATATGATATTCAGGCATAGTTAAAAATAGATTATGTTTAAGTATTGATTAATTTTAAGCAGTACTCAAGAAACTCCTATATTTCTACCCTTGTGTCAAAACCTTCGTAAAGTTTTTAGTGACAAACAAGTATATTGTAAATGCTTCCGAAATAGGATTCTACATTTAGATATCCAAAATAAAAAATAAGTGCTAGTTCGTTTTTATATCAACACTATTTTTCTTGGGAAACCTGAACCCCTGGAAAAAGCTACCTATTTGTCCACTTGAAAAAAAAAACATCAGTGGTTTCCCATACGTTGGATTTATTCCATGAATGCCTTACACTCAATTTAAACTCTTCACCTCTAATAATGGTTTCTATCTAAAATGCCTCAGAGGCTAGTGCAAAGGCTGAACAAACAAACCCTCTTATAATATTGCAAAAGTGCTCTCAAAGTAACGCTTAATACATCATTTACATTTTACTATATCTGGCACAGCACTGTGAGATGTCTACTTAAGTATATACACTGGATGATGTTCCCTCCTCTACTCTAGTTAATCCTGCGGGACTGATAACATCTACACCTGTTGGGAGGACACTTGCTGGGGTACACAATGCATTTGTCCTGGCAGTACTCATCCGCTCCACTCCTGCCAGCTATTTCTCCGATGGCATCACAAGTATCACTGGAAAAAGACATGGTTGTCAAAATTAAAGTTTATATAAATGATGACTTTCTTTTATTATTAAGCATTGACTTTACAGCACACTAATCTTTCACCTCAGATTTGTCTCTGAATATGAACCAAACATTTAAATTATTGCTAAGATTAATTGTTTGTTTAGCTTAGTAAAAGTGTGTGAGTTGTAAGTAAACTATGTGAACTTCTATCCCTTTATGCGCCACTTAAGTATAAGCTCACTCTTTATACACCTTCAAAATGGTTTGCCTCGGACAATCTAAGGGCTCTTTCACTTGAGGCCACCAGTTGCGCAAGGAGACACTGCTCTGGCACTGTGTCCTGACCGGCATATGCAGTGACCTCATCTGAAGGTCTCCATTTAAAACAATGTTTAAGAAGTGGCGGCCACTATGGTTGCAGCCACCTATGGTCTTGTATGAAAGAGTTAGATAGGCGAAGAATCAAACAAACATTTGAACTGACTCCTGGTCAGTTCAGGGAGTATCTGCATTGAATTGGTGTATATGATGGTGCCCCACTATACAGGAAGTGTGAAAGGTCAGAGGAAACTGATGATCACCTCATTTTTGACTGTGAGGAGCTTTCTTAGCTAAGAAGGATAACTCTTGGCAATCTGCCAATCTGGTAAGGAGCCATCTTCCTGAAGAGAAACCGATCAGTGATTTGTAGAATGTCAATCAGGTTGATTCATCAGGTGCCTGGACATTGAAGGTCCCTGAATATATTATCTCTGACTAAGGTGTGCAATAATTGGAGGTCTGCCCTCTTTTTAATAAGATGTAAACCATGACATCAGCCTGCATTCTAATCATTTTTATTTTCATGTACGATATTCATAATGTTTAATACTCAACTGTCCAATGAAATCATATATACTGTATATCAGTATTCACACGTAAAGTAATAATATTTTTAACTATACAATTTTTCATACTTCATCCTTTTTATTTCTACAATTTTAAACCATTTTTAGTTTCTGTATAGATGTAATACAGTAGACTCCCTCTTATCCGGACACCTTTTAACCGGACATTGGTTTAATCGAACCACACTTGGTAGAAGTGACATCTCTTTCTCCGGATAATTTTGATCAGCACATCGGTTTAACCGGACTAGATCGGCAGGAAGTGGGCGGTACTGAAACGACTATTCTCGTGGGAAAGATTTGAGACCAGTGATTATGTGTCTAAATACAATGCTCTTCTAATTTTAATTCAAATACTGTATAGAGTATGCATTTAAACAGTCCGTTTTAATGAGATTTTGCGGACTTCGGTTTAACCGGAAAAACCGTTATCCGGACTAACTTATTTGATACATAATTAATTGATCAATTAACAAATTAATCAAGAAAATTGATACATAATTATAGTGATAGGAATTACTCACGGGCAGTAGCACACTGAAGGAGGACAGTTTGGAGGGAAGTTGAGACAGTTCTGTTGACACCAGTCGTCCACACCTCTCAGACTGCGGTATAGAGGAGTAGCAACACACACTGTGTCCCTGACAACATATTGCAACAGTTATATAGTGGAAATACCCCCGCCACAGCAAACCTGCAGAGCAGACTAAGCGAATTTCAACTTGTCTGATTACATTTTTACTAAAATATTTCCATAAATAAGATATATTTATTCCCTATTTAAATAACATTAGATTTAACGAGTGCTTAGGTTTGCTGCTACGGGGAAGGTAAAAAGTGTTTTTTGACCATACGTCAATAGTATAGGATGAAATAAATAAATTTTGCTAAATTTTATCAATATATATCCATAAACAAGTAAACTACAACAATTTTCATTTTCTCCATAAGAATAACATGGGAATTTTAAATTACACTATTTTTGAATTTTCTCAGTGACCATTAGGCATACAACAGCGCTTCAATATACTAAATTATTTCTTTTTTTAAGCTCTACAAAACGGTTTGGAAAGAAATTGCAAATTTTTTGTTTTTAGGGTCAAAAATGGGAAAAACCCATTTTTACCCCATAAAACCCCCCATAAACCCCCGTTCCCGTGGTACAATTATGCTGGATCGCGAACTCGTTCAAATAAACGTAGGTTTACACGTTCGTACCAAATTTCATCAAAATCGGATGATTTTTGCTCGAGTTATCGCGCTAACGGATACACATATATATATATTTGAATTTGAACGGATGGTGTTTTTGGCCTCTAGGGACCTCGAAATGAAAAATTAAATCGGTCCCGGGTCCAGGTCTTACCATGAGTACTATGGTAATAGCTTATTCCCTATATGGGAAATTCGCTAAAAACACTACAGGATATAGGATATACTCTAAACTATATCTCAATCAGCTTTATGTAGTTGGGTTGCTGATTGGTTACCTGGTAATTAGAAGGTCTTCAGTTCGATCCTGTGTGGAAAATCAGTAGATTTTTAATGGTTCAAAACCTAACCAAGCTGTCCTTGATCATTAAGCTTTTAATAAATAGTCTTGGCTAAATAAACTGGTTATCTTATAGCCAGTAACAAAGCTACACAGGCCATCTTACTTGTATTCCATTCCATTCTACACTCATCTTGTATTCATTAATAAGTTTAAAATATGCATCTCCTAAGAGTTCATCACTGTCTCAGATAATTAAGAACTAAAAGATAACTGTCTGACTAGTTGAACAGACTCTACTAGGTCCTCTAACTGTAAATAGTTAGTGCCTTACTACCTTATACCCAACAACTTAACTACCTTTTTCTCTCTCGCTCATCGCTGCATTTTTAAAATGACAAAACAAAATATAAAGGCGAAACCAGAGCAAATGTGGATTCACCTAGCATGTTGGTTACAAATAATGGTCAAAGCCAATCAATTTTTTGATTTTGCAAACTGTTGATCAATACACATGTAAGACCATATATAAAAAGAATTAAATATAGACTGTCAGCTATGCTGCGGTTACCATAGGTTCTGGCACACACTGCTGGTAGCGCCATGTAGTTACGGCGTACGCGCTACGTAACTACACATCGAAACTATGGTACGAAACTATGGTAACCATTGTAACCGCAGCACGGCTGACAGTATGTATATTTAATTATTTTTGTCTAAGACTGATGAGAATTGTCTTAATGGCTAATATTTGTTTAAAGGATGTTGCATAGAGCACAAGGGATTTTTGTTGGAATAACAAGCTTACCGGAAAGGGGAATACCTTGGTAAAAGTATACCACATACTTTCGTAAAAGTATACCAAAAGATTTACACACAAATATTAATGTTAAGTTTTTTTTTGTTTAGTGCCAGAGTGCCTAAATAAGCCTGTTATCCTAACAAAATTTTCGGTTAATCATTGTTTATATTGGTTGATTACCTATAATTCCAGGAATACCAAGTGATGAGACATTTTCTTTTTATTTGGGATTTCTCTCCACCAAAAGTACTTTTGTTATACAAGATCCTGCGGAATTATGGCACAAGAAATGGAAGATCTTAAACCTCAAAATGAAACCTCTCTAACAAAGTAATACTGAGAGGTCAGAGAAAGTGCAAGAAGATGAGTGGTTGTTTTTAGTAAGTCACTAGGAGGGAGTTGGGAAGGCATCATCACCACATACCCTTGGAGGGTGGACTCCCTAAGGCATCTGCTTACAGATATTTTTCCTCTCTAAATAAAGAAAAGATTGTCATACAAACCTGACGACCAGAGGGTAGGCGACCTGGGGTGCCCGAAGATATTTGAGCAGGAAGGGGTTGTCTGCAGACACCTGGGAGACAAACTGGGGTGGAAGTCCGAGGGTGGAGGTGACAATCGCAATGTCAGCACAGTTGCGGAATGTCTCTGGAGAACCACAACCTACAGCCTCTGTCCCGTTGGCACAACGCCCCCACATGTTACCTGGAGAGGGATTTTGAATTTACTTAATCGTTTAAAATTTTTTGGCACCCTCTTTTGAACCTTGCATTTGCCTGTCCACATAGGACTCTGGTCTGTGCTTGGAACGTTTTAAAAAAAAAAGGGGTGAGCCAGTACAGTACCGTACAAGAGTTGAACTGTACTGTACTGATGGAATGTGACGGGTACCTCAATCAAAACCCATGACATGGCTGCCATGGTTTCGAAGCTACCGACAGAGACACCAACTCACCCGCTATTGATTGCGGGTACCGCGATTGATAGCGGGTACCGCGATTGTGTCGGACAAGGTACCTATCAGGAGTGGTGAGCGTATTCAATTCAGGGTAGTCTCCACACGGTCTCCATCCATTTTCTCCTGGTGCCAGATGCAGGGGTGAAGCCCACAGACTGTCTGATGGACGTACCACTTTTTACCATGTCAGCAAATTCATTCTTTGCAATACTGAGCTTTTCAGGAGCCAGTCGTTATGGTCGGCAGAATAAAGAGGGTCCTGGAGTCGTGTGTATGTGACCCCCTCTTAACCGACCTCGTATTAACCGATAATCGGATTATCCGCCTTTGATCGTAAAATAATACAGTTTGTTTTAACCGACCTTGCTTTGAGAGCAGCTCGGTTTAACCGCCGCTTTCTAGGAATCTCGGCAGTTCCGCTCCCACGCTGGGCGATGAGAACTGAAACGTACGCTTATCTTCACAGGATATGACTAACAATAAGTTATTTTGTGTTGATCACAAAAAATATAGCATAGCCTATTGTCAGTTTGTCATCATCGTTCGTAGCTCGAGCACATCTGATCAGATATGTTATCTGTGCGGCAAATTTATAACATCATAAAGTGCGTTACGATTTTGAGAACTGATTATCTTATCGCTGGAGTAAACAAACAACGCAACTTGTAGGGAGGGCAGGGAAGGGGTGTTAACAACTCCAAGGTCAAGATAGTTTTTGTGCTTCGAACCTCCAGTGAGTGGCCATAAATAAACGTCCTGTCTTGTAACAAAATGGTCGCTTGTATCTTTAATGACGACAAAAGGTACTGTACTGTATTACAATGTATTTGGAAAGCATTAATTAATACACTACTGTAGTAAAGTTATTAAAATCGGAATTTTATTGACTCTTGCCTAGTATTATAATATATTCACTGAAAGTAGGCCTATTTGACTTAACTGTGTTTTGTGTTTATTTGTGACATTTCTATCAATATGAAAACGGAGATAAGAGTAGTTTATTTTATAAATAATGCAAGTATGACTTCAAAATAATGATTATATAATACTAAATGAATAGCACTTCATTATGTTATGATTTTAGGGATTGCCCGTTTTATCCGACCTTTTGAATTATCCGACCTAGGTCCGGTCCCATTAGGGTCGGTTAAGAGGGGGTCTACTGTACTCTGTACTGTCTGGGTGCTTCACTTCTCGAGAGTGAATTCCGCACATTCCTGGAGGGCGAAGTAATTTCAGGGAATTTAAGTAAGATTTTAGAGACGGGAGAAGTAGTGACTACAGATTTTACGCTACTTTGAGTCGTAACGGAAAGTTGTCTTCCTGTAATAAGTCCAGTTTTGGCATCGTGAAATTGCAAAAAACGACACAGTAGGAAGCAAATGGTAGTAACTGAGGAAGTCCGAGCCAATCATTTGGAACACTGACATCTGCAACTGTGAACTACCATGCAAAACTATGGCAAAGGCTTACGTCCAATGTCATAAAACAGGTTCCGTAAGTCTTGATAGTACTACCATTGGCGGCACTCAGTTCAAAGTCTGTAGATGTGCAACGGTCTCTTAGCAGACGTTTTGGATAACATGATACCTCAGAGCCAGTGTCGATCAAGAACCGGAGTTTCGACTTTTGATCCGAGACAACAATTCTGCGGCTGGGTGCTTGATAGTCAGCCGCCGCTGTTAGGCTACTGACCGTCCTTGGAGTTTCCCGCGTAAGAGCAAGGGGAAGTACATTTTGATGCGTGCTCACCAAATTTGGCATATCAGCATCAGATATGGCTTGTAGATTTGTGCTGATCTTGATTTGCGTTTTTTGGTGTTTTCTTGTCATGATAGGTCAAACGATTGTGCCAGAGGAGGGATACTTCGAGTGCATCAATCATCTGCGCCAGTCTTGCAATGGCAGCAGTGAGGTCGTCATTAGACTGTGTGTATGTTCACGAATTGCCGTAGCATTTACTGATGCTTGTGGTGTAGGCTACTTGTAGAAACTTCAATGACTTTATCCGCTATATCTGCAAGTTTATCAAGTGGAAATTCATTTTGAGCTGTGACAATCGCTTGAATGGTTAACAGGGAGACAACGTAGCCAGAGTGCTCGAAGGATGTTGTCCTGTAGTTGGGCTGGACCGATCAGAGCACGTAGGTGGCGTAAGAACTATGATGGCTTGCGATCTCCGATGTCTTCGTCGCTGATCGACTGGCGAACGCATTGTTTTTTTCACTAGTAGGCAGCCTTTCAATTAGCTTCGAACAAAGTACCGTGTAACGAATCGTTGCAGGTGGATTTGTGATGATGTCCTCTACTTCAACAACTGTGTAACGTGTTTCAAGCGTGTCATCGCTTGTGATGCCTGAGATCGCGAACTGGGAATCTACCTGACTAAACCATAGACTAGGTTGATCGGCCCAGAATGGTCGAAGCTTTACTGCAACTCGATGAACTGATACATTACCAGGGTCGTTGCGTTTGCTGAACGTAGGGGCGAGTTCATTTTGTTGCTCTCGTAGATTCACTAATTGAGCTTCGATTTCCTCTAGCGACATTTGTAATATTGAGGAAGGAATGTCGTAGGGCCTAGGCCTAAATCTTGTTGTCGTTGTTCGGGTCACCAAGCGATGTTTAATCTGTATGAGTAATTGCACCGCTATATGAACAAATATTTTTATAACGTTTTATTTACAAACAAATGAAGAAGTGTGCTAAATCATGACATATAGTCAAAACTAAACATTTTAACAACCTAGCAACAGCTGTTACATACATAATAAATATTAAAATAAAGTAAATATCAGAGGCATCACAGCTGTGGCTAAGTTGACACCACAGGTAATTTGTTCTTTACGATAAATAATAAAAACTAGTGGCATGTAGGGACATAAGTCCCTAAAAGCTCAATAATATAAAACAAATTATTTTAATATTCAAACAAACTCAGAAATATATTATCTATGTGTCAGAATATAATATCCCTATACACAATTTCTTTTATGTGACAACAGTTTGTTGTTTGTCTTTGTTTGCTTTTGTTGGTTATTTTCAATAAATAATTTAAATAGGTAACTCCATAGGGTTAACTCTGCTAAAGGCAGCAAACATACTGTAATTGTTTGTGAATAAATACTGGTTTATTAATGTAGCTTTGGTTTTGTGATTAATGGTGATAAAAAAGGCTTCCCTGATTAGACTTTTGGAAATTGTCTTCTTTAAATATGAAAAAGCAAATAAAGGAGTGTTGAGGTAAGCTTAGTTCTTGGCCAAAACCGCTAAATTAGCATTCCTTCCCAGTTAATATTTCTAAATGTATACTCCTTTTGTTAAGGTTTAACAAAATTAGTGTAAAGTAAAGGCATCCCATTGACCAAACTTAACCCTAGATTTTTTTCCGTTCAACATAAAAAAAAACTACAATTAGTGTAAGTTTATGTGGTGGTATTCATCTTGAAGGGGCGATTTAACTTTACATATTCTATCGAATAAAATATACCTAATCATCGGCTGATTCCTAACTCTTTTGCGACTGGCTAGGGTTCCAATACCCAGTTATCGAAACCAATCACGAAATTACTTTTCATCAGCATTGACATGCATATTATTGGTTTGTTTAAGACACGTAAAGAAACGGAAACTACCTCTAGTTTTTACTGTTATATTTGGATGTTCCCTTTACTATTATATACCATATATTGTTTTAACCGTTTTTGCTTAGAGCAACAGACAGTACCTGTTTAAAATCTCCAAAAATATTGTTTTCTGTTCGTTGGAACTTGCCATAGTAATTACTTAATTAACAAATATATTTCCTTTACGAACCTATTCCATCTTTATTCCCAGGTTATTTCCCAAGAGCAGCCGTTGAGGTTGTTCCACTTCATAAAAAATATTGAAAGACTACAGTACAATAAATATCAAATTGAAAATGTTAGTAAATTTACAAAGAAAGTCAAGTGTAGAATAAATCTTTAACATATGTATTGAAATCAAAACAAAGCAAAAGTTTTCCATTTAATCATGAATCATTTATTATTTAGTCAATTTGGTTATTTAATGTTAAACATTCCTTCAACACAACAATAACCTTTAGATTAGAAGAAAAGGATTCGATATTTTTTCAGCAATTCTAAGTTCAGTCCTTTTTTAAGCCTACTCCCATGATTCTTCTACATATCACACGCTTAGCTTATTTATATAAAAATAGAAATGTTTGATAAGTTTCACAGTAACATAATTTATATCAACATTCTAAGACGTAACTAAATAGTCTTAATAGATGAGTGAACGAAGTGAACGAATCTATGTATCGTGTATAGCGGAGTCGGAGAAAAGTTGTCCGCTGGAGTATGTGTGTGACTGTGCTCGCACCTAAAACTCAAGAACCGTTGCACTTATAGCGTTCAAATTTTGCACAAATAGTTATGACACCAGTGTAAAGACACCATTAAAATTCTAGACGATTCCACTCAGTAGTAATAATAAAATACTTAAAAAACATTTTTAAATTTGTCCTATAAGAATAACATTAGGAGCTACCTTCTTCTTCTTTTTATTTGTTTACGTTTTGCGACCAACAATAATTTTGTTGTCTACTTAAGACAGAGAGAACGACTTTTACTCTAAGCTCTTTCATTCATGGAGTAAACAGTTTGGCGTCTATGAATGTATATCATTATAATTTCACAGCTTTCAGAATAATGTTATTTAACACCCGAAGTCCACGTGACGCTACCAACTGAGCCACCGACTCACCATTATTTGCCCCGACTCATGGGTTGATTTGCCCATACAAATAACATTATTGTGTTCACCAGTGACACCGGTAAGTATGCTAGGTGTGGGTGGACTCTTTCATTATTGCGCTCATGTTCACTCATCCCGTTACGCGCAGAATAAGCGTACTACTAGTTATTATAGGTAACGTTATCCCTGGTTTTATATAGTAGGTACATACAGTTTTGCAGTACATTGCAGAATTGTATTGGACAAATAAGTAATCCAAATGTTAATATTGCATACTGGTTTACTGATAAATCACGATCAGCTGTATTGAAGTAACCAAAAATCTGCAGTAGGATGGCTTCTAATGCTATTCTTATGGAGAACATTTTACGTTATATCTCGTTTTCTGGTAACTTTATGGGATTTCTGCTATTTTTCCCGAGTCCCTGGAGTCAAGACCTTTAATTTAAGACCCCGCCCACTTTTCTGCTACTTACCAGACGTCCACAATTTTCTGGTAAACATTTTGTCTTACAGAATTATATATATAGATGTATACCAAAAACAAAATACCCCCGCCGCGGCAAACCTGAGGACTAAGGGAAATTCCATCTACCTGGCTGGATTTGTACTAAAATATTCCCTGAAAATTGTCAGGTTTATTTCCTATTTAATTAATATTAATTTTAATGAGAACCTAGGTTTGCTGCTACAGGGAAGGTGTTGTGGCGTGTTTTTATTGAAATGTTGATAGCTTAGTATGAAATAAACAAACTTGCCAAATTTGATTAAAATCCTATACTCTAATATGAGCAAGGTTTGCTTGTATGTATGTATGTATGCTTGCTTGCAAACAAGATCTCGAAATCGGCTCCGACGATTTTCTTCAAATGTTGTAAATAGTTTATTTCTGGCCTAAAAACGAGTTTACTGCAGTTAGAACTGCCAACAAAAATCTAATTACGTAGAAAAATGAAACTGAAAGTCACATTTTTTTAACATTAGTCTTATGGGTTGCTAAGTAACCATGTTGGATGAATTAAATAACAAGGAAAAAGTAAACAAAAGACTTGAAGTTGTAGCATGTGTTCATAATAAGCCATCTACCCACAGTATACTAGAAATTACAAAATACAGTACAAAAGGAAAAACATCACTTGTTACTATTGAGCAAAGATTATACTGAAGATTACTCGATACATTGTAGGCCTGGTAAAGGCTAGCAGTGCGAAGTGTGGATCTGTTTATGTCGATTAGATTAAGGTATATGCAATCCTAAAATGCTATGCGAAGAGAAGGAAACAGGTCCGTGACGTAGGAAGTGGTGAAGGAAGTAGTAAAGGCGAGTAGTCTGAAGTGTGGGAACTGTTTATGACGATTAGATTAATGTGTCTGCAATCCTGAAATGCTATGGGAAGGGAGGAAAACAGGGCCGCTACGTAGGGAGTGGTGAAGGAAGTAGTAAAGGCGAGCAGTGTGGAGTTTGGGAATGGATTTATGTATCTGCAATACTAAGACTGCTTTCAGAGTAAACTAATGATTTTCCCCGAGCAAAGCTCGGTTTCCAGGTACTATATCCATAAACAAGCAAACCACAACAGTTTATTATTTCTACATAACATGGGAATTTTAAATTTAAAGTTTTTTGAAATTATCTCCGTAACTGTTAGGCATACAATAATACTTCAAAATACAAAGTTATTTCTTTTTTTAAGCTCTACAAAATGCCCTGGAAAGAAATTGTAAAATTTTTTGTTTTTAGAGTCAAAAATAGGAAAAACCAATTTTTACCCAAAAAAACCCCATAAACCCCCGTTCCCATAGTCCGATCATGCTGGTTTGCGAACTCCTTTGAATAAATGTAGGTTTATACGTTTCTACCAAATATCATCAAAATCGGATAATTTTTGCTCAAGTTATCGCTCTATTGGACATATATATATATACTTTTTTTATAGCGGTTATCCGGCGCGCGTTGCTGCGCTAACAACTGTTATTTTAAATGGTTATTTGTTCTTTACAATCTATATCTTTATGTATTTAAAAACAGGAGTGTAGTATAAGAGCTTCGCTCACTTCGCTCGCTCCGCTCAATTAGTTATATGCATATATAGGGTTTTACTTTGATAAAGGTTTTTACTTTTTATGTTTAGATATTTAATACAGTAGGGGAGAATTTAAACGTTGTTGAGTACACAGCTGTGCTGCGATTGGGGTTTAATATATTTTGACTTATCTAATAACCCTTCATGAATAGTGCTTAATAATGCCTGAAAGTTTCATTACAATCTGTTGAGTGGTTTCGGAATCCATAGGGTATATATATATACATACATTATACATACATACATATACTTCCTCTTTTATACTACTTGATAGGTCGTCCAATGGTCGAAAACTCAACCAAAAAATATTTAATGTACAGAATTCTCTATTTCCACCCCACACTATAAATAAAACACGTGATTGGAATTTCTTCCAATCGTTTTGATTTTCTGTTTATATTACGTTGTTATTTCGTAACCAGCATGGCAACCCATAAGGCCCATGTTAATTTTTTTTAAATTTTAAATTAATTTTTTTTGTTTATTTTTGAGCCTATTTTAATTAATAAAGCGATTCTGGATATCTACAGGAAAATATCTTTACAACAACAACGGTATGCGTAGATTTTTCCCTGCGATGCACACGATCTGAGAAAAAAGGTGTTAAATAAACATGATTGCCTATATAGATAGATAGAATAGATTGAAAGAAAAAAGCCATCAGTGCATATTTATGCAAAACTTAAGCTTATAACGTAAACCTTTTGTTGTTGTACTTCACACATTAAATTTTCTAACAACCTATTTTAAACCTGTGAGTGTAATTATCGACCCAATATTCAAAAATTCATTTTATAATGGGCCTAGTGCCTACGTGGACCAATAACAATTTAACAGTTCAATGGATTAAAAGTGACAAAGTTAAATAGACCAACTTAAATTTATCTTGATACTGATACTGGTACAGTACCTGTATAGTAGGTCCACTGAAGAACACACTGTGAACATGTGACGTACGGCGGAAGTCTAACTTTGTATCGGAAAATCTCCTTCTTCTTACTCTTCTCAGGAATTAGGAACCGGAAACTACGAGTACCCGACACGTACAACGGGAACCTAACAATAGAGTAATATACATTAGAGAAAAATCTTATCAAACATAGGCTACATGCTTTAAAGTATTTATGATGTAAATACAAAAACTAAATTGGTAAGCAATGATAGATTATTTAATTTGTTCATGTAAGCTGTTAACCATTAATTTATGAATCCACGACAACAATAAAAACGTGTAGTCTATACTTTAACTAACTGTTTTGTATTTAAGGTCACGTAAAAAATCATGTAAAACATTATTAAGAAATTTTATTTTACATATTTTAAAATAAAAAATATTTACATTAATATATATATATATATATATATATTTAAAAAATATACATTTTTAAGATAATTTGGCTTATAAATTAAAAAATTAAAATCATTTTATAAAAATGTGAGATCACATAAATTATAAATAGCATGCAAATTTCGATGGGTAAAACCAATTTAATATTGTGCAAGTAGCAAATATCCCCTGTCAGCTAGTGGAACTTGTATGGCTTTTGTGTACCAAAGCCTGACATTGATATAATTTTAAATCCAAATCCCCTAACACCCCAATTTTATCATGAAATTGTCAACAAAGGTATAATTGATAAAAATAATGTGCCTAATCATTAATACTATTTAAGAAATTTAGCGAAATGACAAAAAAACCAAACTTACTTTCTTAACAATTTCATTAAGGGAATCGACTAAATGTGATGTGTACAGACAGGGTCGCTTTCAAACCACCACCATTCCGCGAGTATGGGCTAAATTTCACTGATTTGTTTGTAAACAAATCAAGAATAAACATATGTTCTTCTAACAATGCAATCATGTGTAAATATTTTTAAGATACCACATTATAATGTTAAAAAACTCAAACTGTCAGCTTCTGGAGCACTGTCAGCTACTGATGCATTTACCTTATGTATAGTAGCATTGTGTACAGAAACATATTTGACTAGATGGTGTATATTTTGACAAAAGGAAATAAAAAAATCATCACATAAGAACAGAAAATTGGGAAATAAGTTGTTCTCCCAATAATAAATACCCCCACCCCAGCAAATCTGCAGACTAAGCGAATTTCCGATTGCCTGTTTGGATTTACACTAAAATATCACCTAAATAATATCACATTTATTTTTAGGTGTAATATCACATTTATTCCCTATTTAAATAGAATCAGTTTAACGAGTACTTAGGTTTGCTGCAACAGGGAGGGTAAAAAAGTGTGTTTTTTATGTTAATAGCTTATTAATAAATAAATGCATTTTCCAAATCTGATCAAAGTATGTTAATAAACAAGCAAACAGTTATTCTCCTTAAGAATAACATGGGAATTTTAAATTTACATTTTTTTAAAATTTTCTCCGTAACTATTAGGCGCATAACAACGCTTCATTATACGAAATTATTTGTTTTTAAGCTTTACAAAATCTTTTGAAAATAAATTGCTAAATTTTATGTTTTTTGATTAAAGATTGGGAAACCCCAATTTTTACCCCGTAAACCATCGTTCCCTTAGTCCGATCATGCTGGTTCGTGAACTTACTCGAATAAATGTAAGTTTACATGTTTATACCAAGTTTCGTCAAAATCTGATCATTTTTGCTCGAGTTATCGTGCGGACACACACACACATATATCGGGTGTTTCAAAATGAATGACCCGGTTTTAACGCTTTATAACATTTATACTATTAAACTTACCCCTATAAACACACATCAAACGAAAAAGCAACTTAAAGAGTTTATGCCTTCCAAAGACACATTATTTAACAAAATCGATCCAGCAGAACTGTAGATTTAATTGTACAAAGTTAAAAAGTAATCTCCAACTTGTTTACCACTAGAAATTTGGAGGCTGCTTGACGTTTTTGCAAATAACTTTTAAATGGTGAGGAAATCGACCAAAGTTGAAGGTAATATTCCAAAAGAGGATAACATTTCCTACAATCTACTATTATGCATTTCTTGAAAATACTCAAGAAAGGTACCAAAAATTGCCTCAAAATGAAAAGAAAATTGAAAATCCCCGTCTTCAATGTAGACAACAAGATATAGCAAACATTACATTTTAAACTTTTATTTTAAGATTATTTTAACTTATTTTAAGACAGATTTAGGCTCCTGTTAAGAGAGGCATGGGACTCGCGATATTTATATATATATGAATTTGAACGGATGGTGTTTTGACCTCTAGGGACGTCAAAACGAAAAAGTAAAAAATCGGTCCCGGGTCCAGGTATTAATATGAGTACAAAGGTAATAGCGTATTCCCTATAATGGGAAATTCGCTAAAATCAAATTTAGTTTAGGTTTATAAATGTTACAAATTTTGAAATGCTTACAATATTTTTCAATCATGGCTTTTCGTAAAAGGAAGGTCTAGTTGTTGTGTAGCAAAAAGAAAAGGCCTTTATGTGTACAGTTTTTTGTCATTCGCCTATTGGGCCTGATGATGATTGGAGTGTCCAATCGAAATAGATCACCACTTACCATCATTTATGTATATTTACCGTCTTGTGAGTAACATTATAAGCGTAAATATATGTTTTCAGTGTTATTAGACGTTTCTTTTATTTACTTTCCGTACAGTTTTTATGAAAGTAAGAAGAAAACACTTATTAGTTAAGGGGGTCGTCTATAGGTACTAGCGTTCAAATTAAAACTGTACAAAAAGTCAATAATTGCAATTCTATAGATTTATAACATTTGATGTTACCTGTCTAGACAGGGTTGTGTCGCCTCGTACCGAGGGTTGTTGTTGGGGCACAGGAACATCTCAAACCTGCCCCAGTGGTTGGCCGTCAACTCTACTTCAACGTCTATCTCCTGCATACAAACAGATCAGGGGATTAGGTGGTGTAAAGCTGTGCTCTAGATACTCTAAATTCCCTCTATCAGCTCTAACATTATTTTGTTAAACGAACAAGTTTGAATTACTGCTTATGGTGTATAGAATTATTTTCAAAAAGCTCAAAGAAGAACAAAAGAAGTTAAGAGTAGCTGAACTAACCATATTCAGGAGAATTTTAAATTGGCTACACCCAATTGATGAAATGGTGGTTTGAAATTTGTAAGATTGTTAGATTGTTAACTCAATGAAACATAATAACAATTAATACATTAATAAATTATTAATATTAATAAATATGAACAATTAATTAATATTAATTGTTGTAAAGCTTTTAGTGGGGGAGTTCACATCTGAGAGATCTCTTATTTTTATTTTGTCTATAATGTGGACAATGTTAGGAGGGCTCAGAACCACGCGGTCGCAACATTTCGCAATGCTGAATGTCATTCATGATTGGCAATATTTAAACTTTTGCCTCCAGAAAAGAAGTAACATGGTGTAACCACCGACTGTGACAGGGGTAAACTCACAATATGAGTATTTAAACTAATTAATTTATTGTTGAACCAAAATGTTGTAACTCAAATCCCAATGTGCACTGTTCTAATTTTATATTTTCAAAATCAACTAAAATAGATATTATGGAAATATCACAAGATAGCTAATCTTGTAGTAAAATCCTTTACGAATAAGTTAAACTCCAAACAATCTGTGTTGTGTGAGTGTGGATGCACATTGCACGCCTACATGTGACACGGGGCCTGATAGTGTGTGGGTGTCTAAAGACATATTAGCTGTTTATTGGTCAATATATCTACTGCTGTCCCATTACACTCGCCTACGAACCTTTACACAACCAATTAGGAAGGGACTTATGATGATTGAACGCGGTTAATTGAAGTGTGAGAGCATGGTTGTTTTGATGATTACTAAATTAAGAGTTGAGAGTGTGGGATTTGACTTTCTGTGTGTTCTCTCTAGATTTCCTTTTTAATAGGACTATGAAAATCCTCTTTTAAGTTTCTATGTATATTAATATCTCAACATTGAATTACAAATTTAAAAATCTTAAAAATTTTTAGGCTATGTATAAAACAGATAATTAGTAGACTACATGGATTGCTGAATAGTTATGTAGCATATTCATAATACACAAGCTAAGGGATTGTCCATGTATATTATGAGGCTGCTGACTGTTGTCATGGTACACTCAGACTGTATATTATATTTTAAATACTTTAGTAGCACATTAAACTATTCCTTTTTGTTTGGTTAAAAATAAAGGTAATATTACCTTGTTTCAGGAATCAATACTATGAATTGAATACAACCTGAAGCAAGCAATGAAGAGAGTTAATATAAAAACAGGACGTGGTATTTTAGGTTTAGGCATTGTTTACAATCCACCATTAACCAATTAACATTTTCCGATATGGTCGGAATATAATGTACATTACAGTATCAATAACTTGACTAGTTTGGCTAGAGTTGGAGAAAGTCATATTTAATCCACATAAAATGAAAAAAATGATTTGTTTACATTATGTGAGTAATTTAACTACATTCTAATAAATTATTTTGGGCTACATAATGCACCTTCAGGATTGTGATGTGTACCTGTCTCAATTTATTAATATTTATTAGTTTTAGGCTTAATCCCATAATTTTTCGCAAATTATTAAGTGAATATAAATATTCTTTTATATTTGTGGGGCATATATAATTTCGTGGAATTTCGAATGGAGCAATTGTATGATTGGTGGTGATAGATAGGTAATGACATGTAGAATCGTGTGCTACCGGATGTTTTGTCTGAAAGCGTGGCCTTGCTGGTGTTTTCGGCCGCCATCTTGGATCTGCCATATTGGATATTAATATTTTTTTTTAATGTAATGATAGTGTTGTGACACATCATTATAAACTAAGTTTTCACGCTGATTTCAATGCCTAAACCCGTTTTTAAATTTATTTTCTCGTTTGGAAGATATATTCAAATGAAAACTCTCCCCCATGGACGTTTCGTACTCTGGTCATTTTTTTATTGTTTTTCTTATATCTCTTATAGCCTTAATGGCTATTAGCGCCTTATTGAAAGTTGTATGAAGTAACAGAGTAGCCTATATCCTCACCTGCCCTGTGCTGTAGTATCTGCCGATGATCCCCTTGGCGTACTGACCACCAGCCTCGTGCGGACGAGGTTCATTGATGCCGAAGGAGTCTCCACAAACTCCGCACTTGCCTTGGTTCTGCTCATACTGCACTGGACATTGGGAAAACTACGCTTAACATTACAAACTGCGGCTAGAAACATTGCTAGAGCAGCTTACAGGTGCAACTTAAAGGGTGTTTTACCTGAAGTGTGAGGAGGTGAAGTGTAATAGTGTATTTCATAACAAGAGTAGCAAGTGAGTCATTACATATTTGAGACCTTGAATTTAAATGGTCGGGAATATGTATAAACCCACTTTCACTAGTGTTTTGAACGTTACTTTCGCTACACTACAAAGACTAATTCTTTTATTAATTAAAACAGACATTGAATATTTTTTTTAAGAGCCACTTTTTGGATTCCTTTCAAAACTTAACATTTAAAACTTTGTCTATTCTACAGCCTGGTTTTCTGAGCTACCGTTTCTAACTGGTGAGTTTACAGTTAGGAACATTACAAAACACATAGATTTTTTAAGGTTATGCCTTCAATTTAAAGTTAATATTTACTTTAGTTGTACAGTTTTGGTTGTTGAAACTTTAAACTGTCGTTGACAAAATAATAGCAAATCTTTGTTTGTTTACGTTGGCAAAATCCAATAAAGATAGTAAACATTACTTTCGCATAGCAACCATTTTTTTTCGTTTTAAACAATATGTAATGACTAGCAACAGAACCCGTTGAGGTTAATACAACGGTTTCGAGGAAAATATGGTTATGAAATTCGCATACCCCAGTATACTCACTAATAACTATTGGTACAATTAAGCACTTATTAGAAAAACACCTAACAAAAGGAACACACCCTTTAAACACAAATGCAAATTGTGAACAACAATACGAAAACAAATAAAAATCAATGCAATAACAATACAACAATCAGCTGTTAAATTATTAACACATGTTTCATATGTTCCGATTATGCATACCAGCAAACCCACTACTACTGTCATAAATCTTTCAAAAAAATCGAACTTTTATAATTATTTTCAAAGCTACATAGATTAGGATTTTTATTGACCTATTAATAAATAAAATTGGCCCATTATAACTGCAAATTTAGTTGTATAAAGTTTAACAAAGTGTCTCTAATTCAGAATTTTCTAACAATACCACTTTTTACTTTTTAACCACAGATGTTTAATAAAATCGCAATATTATCACTATTATACTGAATGTAGATTTAATTGTACAAAGTTTAACAACAATATCTTTAATTTAGTATTTTCGCACCACTATAAATTAAGAGGCTGCTTAGCTCTTTTGCAAATAACTTTTAAATAGAGAGGAAATCGACCAAAGTGTAAGCTGATTTTCTGAAAGAGAATTAAGTTTCCTACAAATTACAGTCATAACAAATTATTCCTGAAAATACTCAATCAATTAATTCAGCCTTAAGTTGGCTACAAATAGAAGCTTGGAAATAGAAAATTGAAAAAAGCAGTTTTTAATGTATTCAAAGGGTTTCTGTATTTTTCACCTTTTAAGTCATTAACCTTTCCATTTATGCAACTAATATCACAATTCACACTACTTGGTGCCCCGAAGAAACATGTACTTAACAATATTTCAGTTTGAAACACTAACAATTGCTGTAGTTGCTTCAGAACCAACCTGCGTAGCCCCCACAGAAGAGTTCATTGTCGTTGTAGTTGACAGGGTTTGCGAACCCGAACCTCCACATGCTGTTGCGCGCAGGAGGGTCCATCAGGCGACCATGGCCGGACACTCGCACCATCTGTAACATGGTGTCACTGGTCAGCTGACTGTTACGTGCTGATGGACAGGTCAGATGCTTTGAACTAGAAAAACAGGCTATGCTGCATGATCCATGACGTCACACTAGTGGATAGATATGTAGATAGATTCACTGCCATATCCCATGTTTTAGGTAAATAAGCTGGCTGTTTGTCAGATGTTAACGGTAAGATTTTAGTACAGCTATCCACCACTGTGACGTAGTGTTGCGCTCCCCGCGCTGCAGCATGGCCTGTTTTTTCTAGTGGGGCCTTGTTTGAACTCAATCAAACATGGACATTAAATGGATTAGCTGTAATTCAAAAACAAAAATGGATATTGTCATCCACTTCCTCTGTCCTCGTGAATAAGCCCATCAGCACGTTTAGGATAAAACACAATAGGACGATAGGATGGTCATTATTTGGTTTCGTGTGTAATTTGTATTAAAAGATAAAACCACACACCAACTTAAAATACTATAATATTTTACTCATAGCTGAACAATAACCTACTATGAAGTCATGTCATTCTTGTTTTGTATGTCAACTGATGTTTTACTAATACAGATATTTGCAAATAAAAACAACAAATACATTTATGGAATTTACAAATGAATACTTGACGGTCAATTGTTGTTCTATAACTTTGGATTACAGATGGAAGTGTGGTTTTGGACGAATTGGTGTGAGTGATGAGTTCAATCACTGGAATATCCCCTGAATATTTCTAATATTTCTAAGGAGTTTATGCGTCTTTCCCTTAAACATCTTAATTTTCTTTCCTTACTCAACGCAACTGGCGTGGATGTAAAAATACAATGATTCTTCCTATTCGAAGAAGAAAATATAGTAAAATATGATTTACCCTAAAGGATTATTTTACTAACAATATGGTTTGTCATTTTAGTTGTAGGAATGCAACTTTTTAAATCTATCAATCAAGCAGAATTCAATCATTTAAATTCTTTTCATCGAGGGTTTGTGATAGTTCTGTATCCAATAGTCAATGGTAAAACCTTTTTACCAACGCCACTTGGGTCTTTGATCTTCAGAATCATGTGGGAACGCGCTGTCCATTTCGACTGAGGAGTATTTGCATTTGCGAGGCATTTCGATTGATTGGAGGATAAAAAGAGTTGATTTTACGTGACAACTTTCCTTTTTGGCCATCGGTATCCGCACCAACACTGGGCAGATGGGAGGGCGAGGGGACGTCTCCTCTGGAGTTTCGATGTAATTTACAGTCCAAGGTCAAGTCCAAGGTCGAGACACTCCCCCGCCTCGGGCTGAAGACGTTGACATTCACACTTGATCTGGTGCGGCAGCATTCTAATTTGACTACTGGACTAGTCGAATATGTATTTGGCATGATCAACGGCCCTTTTAAATATGAGAAGGGAATCTGCTGTTGTTTCAGGTTTTCATAACATCCACTTGTCTTGTACCTGGAGTTGTTGAAAGAGCTTTGACATTTCTGAGTAAGAACTTAAGCTGGGGGTGGTGGTGATATTATTTTCTCTTATCGACTAAAACAGACCCTGGTGATATTTGTAATTTCTACTCATATCATGCACGGTCCTGATAGGTATTCGACAAAACAATGGATAGAAGAACACTAACATTTTATACTACATTATGTGCACACCAGCACACCCAACATATTAAACTCTAAATAACTGATGGAGGTTTTAGATTGACCAGTTATGTGTTAACTTTGGTTATTTTATCTTTCTCGTATGTTTCGACTATGAGGACGATTCTTATAGTTCAAGTTTTTTTTATAGAGAAAGATTAAATCAACGAAAATTATGAATAGTCTTTGAGGAAATACATGTTTTGTGTTAAACTGCATGTCATATCACTACATGTCATAAGACTATCGTAAATTAACTTGATTTGCAGACATAATTGAAGGCATTGGAGGTGTGCAGACAAATTGCAGTTTCGGCGCGAAGTAAGTCAATTTTGGCGGGAACCTCGGGGCGTCGCGGTCCTTTAGTCATGATCGCAGTAATTTGCGTTAACTTGTTGACAAGGCCAGTTCAAACCCACCTCAGGCTAGTGAGTTATGTTACACTTACGATTTACTATTATTAGCTATGCTCGGTTGGTAAAACTTCATTCTGATAACATGTGAGTGAATTAAAAATAGCTTATTGATTCATAACTGCGTTTTGAGTGACATGATAATATTTTTAGTTCCCTTTCATCTTAACCGCCATGGTATAGTGTTCAGCCAAAATACTGTTCTCAAGTGGATTATCAACTTGACTACTAAGGAAAACAGGATCTCTAAAAAAAGCCGCTCGAACGAAAATAACTGTTGGGACGTTGTAAATGTTAAAACGATTAGGCCTAGTCAAACTTTGATTCGTAAGTGTTGAAATGCTCAAGCACTTTTTCAGGTCACAGTTGAGACAGCAACGTTTGAAAATCAATACCTATACAGTATATGTTTATTTAAGACAAAATCCACCGCGTACACTGCTCTAGATTCAATGACCATGGTATGAATTATGTTACTAAGAAGGTTTACTGTATTTCACGTTTCTGTGATATTCTGTAGCCCTTAAGGTACAGATTGTGCATATTGATTTGAGCATTTGTGATTTTTCTTTGGAGCGTTCTCAAACTTTGCGTCTACACTCACAAACCTTGAACCCTAATGGATCTTAAGAAAGCAATTAAACAGAAAGTGGTGACAGTTAATGGTTGCCTTGAAACTCTGAAACGTGAAATAATTTAATAACAAAATTGAAACCTACGTAAAAGAAAGTGGAATTCACCTGAAAGACAATGTTTTCTAAAAGTAAAGTGCATCTGACAAATGGAGCAATGATTTGTTATTGTTATTAACTATGTTTAGTTAATAGGGTATTTCCAAAATGGCAAAGTTTAGGGACATTTTAATGTAATTAAAGTTATAAATTTGCATGAAAAAATCGACTGATGTTTATTTTAAAGCGTCAGTTTTATCGGTCACCCTTGTTTAGTACAGGGGGTTGAAACAACAAAGAACAGTACCTACCAAAATTAATCTAAATATTGCGAGCAATCTGAACCATAACTTCCAAGATTTTCCGAAATCCCATCAATGCATGTACAACACTTAAATATTCCATTTCTCGTTATATTTTTTCTGTGATTGCTGAATGATGAACTAAGATTCTCAGGTTTTAAGAAAATGGAAAACTGAAGTTTGTAAAATTAAAAAAAAATGTTTTAATAGACTAACAACAGTGTAACAATCTGAAGTAATCGCTACATCACGTGCCATTTGAAATGCAAGTGTAGCAAAAAAAATCAAAATATGGTCTTAATATATACAGAAATTACGAGTTAGTTCTACGGCCGGGATAGTTTTACACTAACATTTCGCTTCTCTCGTTTCATGAAGCAGAACGATTTGGCAATCTCTGACTCAACCGTATGACCTTCTGTCTACCATCTTGACACCCGAACAAGAACTATTTTTTACGCTCGGAAAAACCGTGACATTCGATCAAACGTCTACTGGTCATGATCCTCAAAACAACATCCCAGAGTTGGAAAATTAAAACAAAATCCTACTAATATTATAAACTAGGGGAAACCCGTCGAAATCGACGGCTACTTTCAAGGCTTACGTTAATTCATCTAACTGCGATAAATTGGGTGAAATATACATATTTTGAGCATTTAGCATTGTTTAAAGGGTAATAAGTGTGAAAACAATAATGATTTTAATTGCGTTAGTTGCCAAATTTGGTTGATCATTCAATTATTAAAATATTTCCCATACCGTACGTCATTTGACTCATCGGAGTTATTATTAGTATGTTATATTATATCTCTTCCTTTGGAAGAACATTTAAATAGTATTAAAATCGTATTGGTGGGTCTTTTGTAGTTAAAAACTTCTGTGATTTCATCAGTGTAATATGATTTTATTTGAAAAGAAAATATTTTTTGGGAAGACATGTTCTAACTTCAAAGGGAAGTATGTCCGTTACAGTGTAAGTTTGATTTTCCTTCGTCACGTCGCGTCAGTTCATATCGTACATCTGTGCCAATGAATGAACCCTCTAGCATAGTTTTGAGAAATTTATTGTGGGGTTACTATTAAAGCTGGAATTCCTTGACATGGGGGATGTCAGTTAGTTGTCTCAGCCTTATCAATAACATAAAGTTGTCAAAATAATCTCTCTACGGAATGTTAGGTGTAGTGGAATACTTGAAGTGAAGTTGGCTTTTATTCTTGAACTGTTAGGGGCCTCCTCATTTATATGGTCTTGGCGGCTTCATTGACAACAAATAATACAAATGACATAGCAATGGGACGTTTCCAAAAAGCAAAAATACTGTAAATTGGCTGTTACGTATATATTGACGTTTATATATTGGTAATCAACGTATCTTATAAAGTATTGTGTGATCTAGTTTTTATAAGGAATATGACCTTTCTGTCATGACAGTAGCTGCTTAAATCGTATTTTCTCTTTGTACCATATTTTACAGCCAAAATGTAGTATTATTTTCAATAATGTTACCAACCCAGTGCACCAAAGTCCGTAATATAGGCAGGTGCATATAATTTGTCAAGATGGGTACCATTTTAGGCAAGGTTTCTATGTTTGGATTTTATTAGACACGAAAAGTCAGGCACCAACCCGTACAATAGATATAAGATAGTTCAATAAGAAATAATTTAAGAATTTCTGTGGATAATTTCTACTGATTTCATAATAGAACGTTAAATTGCAAAACATGACATGATAAAGAGGAAAATTAATTTTAAAATCAGAAAATAACATTGCAAATACTTATTTGGTACAATTCAGTAACCCAATAATTATGTGTGGTTTGAAATACAATTTAAAAATGAACAGCTGTTTTATTAAAAAGTATTATTCACATGGCCAAAATGTAAACAACTCTGTGGAGGGATCTTTAAAGGCTTCTGGGGCAGAGCCCTAAGGGATTTTTCTTAGTTTTTCTTTTGATAACTCATCTACAGACC